TACACACACATATGTAGTTACATTCGTTGCTACTGTTTCCTATATTCTAAGTTGGGATTGTTTGAAGATTGGAAGGAACTCCAGAAAAGTAAAAGACCACCAGGGAGGGAAAATCTCTTCGAAGAAGTCTCACGCGAAGCACAGCTATTCCCTCTGTACCCTTTTTCTCTGATTTTTTAGTATAACAAGAGCAGCAACGACGACCATTGGGGTTTATTTGAAGAAAATCTGAAGGGTGCTATCAAAATCTTGGTCGAGTTTTATTTAACCATATCATCGCGTGCAACTTATTATTAGACTTCTTTTAGCCGAAGAAAAGCATAGAAGAAGAACTGTTCAACCACTCTCTTCACTTGCCTTTGTTCTTTATGTGAAAAGATAGGAGGTTCTGTGCTAGGCTCGCCCAAGTCTCTCTATAGGGCGTAGGCTCTACCTCACTCCTCCAAAAATTAAAAGCAAAGACTCTTCCTTTGACACATTTGTTTTACCCTTTATAACAGAATCATGCGTTCCTTATTCAGTTATAATACCTAAAGGTCAGAGAACCCAAAATGATATATTCCCTGCTCGAGGTAAACCAAATTATGATTAATAACTAGAAGTTACGAGGTTCCACTAGTAACACTTTCCTGCGGCTTCCGGTGCTGACCATAGGTCGGTTAGCTCGCACGTCTTCACGTGTCTTGTGGCTTCCGGTGTTAACCATACATTAGATCGTCTGCTAATAAGAATTCCATAACCTAAGAAGTTGCAAGCAACCCTCAAATCTTAATTTATTGTTGATTTCATTATATTTATTCTTTGGAAAAAAATGAATACTTCCTTAGTACTAAAATTTGATATGAACTTATTGGACAATTTCAAACCTTTCCCACTAAAACTGTATTTACTGTATTAATTTCAGATTTAAAATAAATCTGATTACATTTGAAAATTATCTTTCACCGTGTAATAAGGTCACGAATACGTTTTATTTCAAACTATGTGGATTAACTTAAAAAATACAGACAGTACATCTTCGATCCTTGGAGTATTGACGTTTTGCTGTCTCATGGGGTTCGCCATATCGCGGAAGAGATAATTCGGGAGATGTCAGAGAAATATGGTGGGTGAGGCAATAAAAAAAAGCTATCGTTGACCATGCAGAATTTTTTTTGCAAATACCATTGACGTTTATGTGATGAATGCTTGTGCACAGTGTGTCGAAAAATAAAAGGAATTTTTTGAAGCTACATATTTCGAATTTGAAGACTAATATTTAAATTGAAATTTTCTATTTTATATTATTTTTATTTTCTAAATTTTATGCTGTTCCTTTGAAAATCATTGATTCCAATATATGAAACTTTTTCGATTAAAAATTTCCTGTTCGCAAAAATGAAAATTGCGACGGAACGAACAAATTAATACTCGTCGTAAAACCTTGATATCTCATATTCATGCCTTTTTCTCTGAATAGTTCTTCTTCTTTCCAATAAATCCGGTGTCCTGTTTGATTTATCGTGCATTATCAAGAGAAACTGAACCGATTTGATACAGGAATAAAGCATACAAAGGACATATATTCTTCGGAAAGCTTAAAGAATTATTAGTAAAGGAAAGGACACATAGGTCTGTGCTATCAAAAAGAGAGGTATCTTTTTCTGTAGTCAACAGTTTACAAGAAACTGCTGGCTCGACTACTGTTTCGCTGAAAACAAAGGAAGGAAAATCACCTAGAGAAGCTTGATGCCAAATATGCGTTGGAATAGGTCCAGAAACGAATATGCAACATGCAAAATCCGTGAAAAAATATGTAAATATGGTGAACATAAAAATATTATTTATACATATAGTAACTGTTAGATACACAATGTAAAGGGTTACTAACGTTGAGTGTAGATAAAACATCATTTGAAGATCTTTTGTGTAACTATTTCTGAGAAAATGTATTAGAATGAATTATGAAATTATTTATAAAGTACTGGAAATAATATTATCGATAAATGCTGCAAGCAACTGTGCCAATGTAAACTGGATTTCTAAGGTCTTAGAAATAATTTATGGCCGGACAAAACCCTTGAAGAGAAATTTACTGGTGTAGGAGGTCTTCGAGGTCTGACAGACTACTCTAGGATTTAGTCACGTACGGCCCAAGTATGGTGAAAAAAATGTACAATAGTAGATATACTGCAGCCACATTGGCGTAACTAGGATTTTTGTCTGGGGGCCAAGTCCCCAAGTGTTCATTCATAATTTCAAGTATACAGATTGTCCCAGCTGAAGCAAGCCACCTAAATATCTCCTTCGTTGTTTATCTAAGTATAGTTGCATTTCCGCCTAAATAACAAATCCTCTTACTTATTCCAACAATTTCTGATGGAAAGGAAAGGAAAGGAACTAGGCAAACACCTTAGTCTCCAGCTAGATAGGGCCTATCTAGTTACACAGTGGTTGTAAAATCAGTCAAACGTGAAGATACATGAAATTCGAGCACGGAAACGGTTTTGGAAGATATATGGATAGATAAGGAACTCGGGTCTCGTTCAAGATCTAAATCAAGGTTATATGATGCAAATATTGAAATTAGATTTTCGGTTGCATGCTTCTATGAAGTATTAATATGTACAGAGACATCTGTGTCGCCCTCAAAGCATTTTGAAATATGCACGGCCCTGGTTAGATCACTAGGTACCATCGTTTAACGCTTTAATTTACGACGCTACATTGTTTCCACCAACCATACCTGAGTGCTGCATGTCCCCGTAAAGCTCAGCAGGTAAACTCTAATACCGAGGTCTCATAAACCCTAAAGAAATTTTCAAAATACAGTTACACTGAAGCTTCAAAACTGCTTTAAGAAAACGTTAAGTGGACTGCATGATTATGAAATGGTTGAGAAAGATGAAGGCCAAGTTAATTTTTTTTAAATAAAACTATATATTTTTTCAAATCCAATAGTGCCTTTCAGGTGTTTACAAATTTATTGATTGCGGTGAAAGAAAACCCACCCAAACAGGAAGTACTGATGGAGGTCCTGGCGGAAGTGCCACGTGTTAAACACTGCCTCTTGAAACAGATAGGAAGGGTGTGTGTCCCGCACAGTAGGCCCAAAGGTTGATACATACAACTTCCTGTTCAAAAAGGTCTTCTTTCGTTGCAAATCAGTAAATTCGTAAGCACATGTGACCTGTGCGTGACACCATCATTAAGTTCCTAAAAAATCTCTAATTATGCAAACTCGTGTTATGCAAAACGAAGAATAAGTACATACAAAAAGTAAGGTTAAATTCTAAAAATTAACATTTTTATATATGTATGTATGTCCAAGGCCGTAGATCTACATTGTCAAGACCTACGGTTCGTTCGATGGAGCGTAGTCACAATATGTTACCAAAGCTGTCTATTGTTTCAAATATATGTATTCGCATGAGACAACCGATATATCATTTAGACGCTAAATATGCTTGATCGCGACGAAAACAAGCGTGCTCTTACGTTGGTCCCTGGTATTACATAGTGGCTGTGGACGATTCATGCTACGCATCAAGTATGAGTCAATTACTAAAGCAGTATAAAATGACGCGAAATAAATATTAAACGCATTTTTAAGTGCAAATCGTTTTATCAGTGCCACGAATTTCATTCCTTAGTGTTTCATATCATTGTGCAAATTTCGTTCTGCATCGTGATATCTGCTCACGAACCGTAACTTTCGTCGTTGGATCAAACTAAATAACAAAGTTGAATTCTCCACGGGACCTAACCTCCTTTCAAAACATATTAATGAATTCGTTGATGCGTTTAAATGGTCAAGGTTCATGAATTTCGATTATGCCGGAAAAAATACGTAGTTTTTGAAATATTTATCTTTCATTAAAAATATTAAAATTAAAATGACATGAAATATAAGATTAAATTGGTCCGCCAGCCGAGAATTAAAAGAAGTGTATAAGTATTGGATGTTTCGACCTTGTGAATGAAGTGTTTGTCAAAATGACAGTCAAAATAAATTGTGAACGATTGTGGTAAAAAGTGAAAGAAAGTGAACAGGATACGATAATACGATGTGGAAACACGATAACCGTCTGATTGGAGGTTATTTAAGGCGAAGAGTTCTGGTGAAACGAAGAAAACATTGACTCTAACTACTTTTAATGTATCACTGTGTGAGGCGTGTGTTTGAGGTTAACCACGTGCGAGGCAATTTCTATGGCGGACATTTTTAAAAGTTGTAAGTATGTATATTAATTCTATTTCTAACAAAATTTTACTAATCCAACTAACTAAGAAATTAATTGTACGCATTTAAGAGTAATGACTATTTTATACATAAACGGTAATCTGATATCGTGTATGATATCAGCTAATTTAATTAACTTTTCAAGCTCTTGATCATGCATGTAATCTTAAGTTAAATGTTGGCGGTGTTATCGGCGACACCAAGATTAATATGTACGTGGTGAATGAAGAATTTAACGGTGAAAGTCACGTGAAATTGAAGATTCCAGGGATACGTTTACATCCTTCGTCTGGACTTAAATGTCTATAGTGCTTTATATCGTGGCATGACGTTTGAATACGGGTCGGTGCAAGGAGCATAGAAAAACTGGACAGACGAGACGTGAGACGTTCAGAAATATTATCTCTGAACATGTGGGATCGGTATAATAAAATCCTATCGGTTTAAGGTTTCTACGGAGTATCAAACCGACGTGTATTTTTAATTAACACCTTCCTTTTATTTGATTTGTGTGATTGATCGAAGCAATCACATTATTAATTAGGCCCGTGTAAAACTAGGGGGTTAGTTGGTGTGAATAAAGTACCCCTTCTGGCCCCTGTGCCGTCCTACAAGACTTCTGGTGATCGGTGGACAGTGCCTACCTTACGAAAAGGGCGGGAATATATTTGAATTTAAAATAGTACAGCCTAATAGAAATTTAAAAAAAAGAGTATAATTAATTGATTAACGACGAACGAACAAACTTTATGACAACATCTATCCACATAGTACTCACCGTGTAGTGAACACCCAGCAACAAATTCTCTTCTATGCACTAATTTCCTTAACTAAACTGTCATTGTTTACATGTACATTTATTATGTTCATATGTCAACACGTAAGGTTCACACAGAAGAGTATTTATCTATTTTTCACAGTAATGTTTCTATCACAAACGATATACTGCTCTCAAATTAATTCACTGACATAAGCACTTAAATTAGTATCGGTAATGAATAATGGAGTTAACTGAACAGCTTTGCTTCCTTTACTGTGCATCTTCACTCCCACGTGCAAACTATCAGGGATGTAATTTTAGTCGAACCTTTACATTCGATGCCGCAAATAATTTAATGTGCAAAATTTTTAAAATATTTATAATTTTGTTTTGTATGAAAGTGAACTGAATATTTCATTTTATCGGTGCAAACTTGAATTTTTGTTTAAATCTGTATTTTAAAGTTACTATATGGTATTAAGGAGGGTTGTAACATAATAATAATAATCGTTTTGTGGGTGCAGGATCTCTAGGGACTTCAAGTTTAATTTAAAGTTGCTGTTATCGATAAATATCGATATATCGAATTATCGTTAACACTTCGGTATTATCGATATTTATCGACAATAGCACTTTTAAATTAAACTTAAAATCTCTAGCGATCTTTTACCCACAAAACAATGATTGCTGTTATATTATAATTCCCGTATAAACATTTTTAAAGGATTAAAAAGTTATGTACTGAAAAATATTATATTATTGTTTTTAGGAATATATAAATTTGTTCGTTCCAATGTATTATGTTTCAACGAGAAAATTTGGACTACCACTACAAACAATTGATTTTTATGATTGGTACTGGTATCATTTATTATGTGCTCGTAAATATATAATGAATATCATTACTATATAAAATGTTTACAAATGTTGGATTTAATTAAATATCTTCAAATTATCAAAAGGAAAAACATTGGAGGAGATGGTGGTTACTAAATATAGCTTTGTTTAAAAGTCGAAGGTGAGAACTTCAAAAGATATCTTACAAATCAAGTCTGAAACAATAGACATTTTCATTCTAATCTTAAAATAACTTTCTGTTTTCTGATAATCTTTACTACACATGCATAAATTCAATTTTCATTTGTAATGTTAAAACGAAAGTAACAAAATGAAATTTTATGTTTTAAAATACCTACTGTTAAAAATTCAACTGTTTCGAAAATTGTTTGAAATTATTTATAAAATTCTACGGTAATTTAGAATCATTTCATGAACGGGTTAATTAAAAATGTACAGTGCTATATGATAATAGCTATAGCATGCGTGTACCGATTGATAGCATCAGGTAAATTACTAATCATGCGTGCCTCACATAACGGACAAGTGTTTTCTGTAGAATCAACAGGTCAAATCGAAGTCAAATTCTTACTTTCAGTTGTGCAGCTCGAGCTATACGTGCTCTAAAGCACAATACAAGCCAAAAGAAATATTTGTTAAGAATAAGGCAGCTTTGAGGTTTAAAAATGAAATGTAATTCACCGAATGCTTCTCAACTCTCTGTATTAAGTGAAAAATTAAAATTCGTTAAAAATTCTACAAACGAATGTGATATGAACCATATTCAACAATTACGTAATTAAAATGTCATAATTACACCTTTTACCGTAATTTAAACAGAAAACCCTGAAAAAGAATTGTGAAGTATGGCTATCCGCAACACCCTCTTTATGCATGTCCCTCTACCCCTCCCTCTCTCGTCACCGCCCCTAGCTCGTTCGCGCATTCAGTCATACCGTCTCATCTCTCCTCCTCCATTCTTGCCTATTTCAACTTTTTTTTTGCTATTTCCCTTCCATTTTAATCAGAACAAACAAATCAAAATTAAAAGAAAAAAAGGAAACGTGATACGTTCGAACGAAGGAGTGAAAGAGCCAGTGATTATGATTACTTTTCTTACGTCATCGAAATATCCACGAAGCGAAAACGTATCGCGCGACCAACCGTCAAACACAATACGTTTGCATGTACCCTTGCGTGTTATGTCATTTTCCTTCCTGCTGGTTCATCGCTGATCGCGTCCACGGCCGCGGTCATTCCCTTTCCTTTCCGTGACCATGCCACCCTCGAATAACGAGAGGATCGGTCGAGGACACAGAGAGGAGATGCGATTCACGACGCATTCGCGGAACACGTGAACCACGGGTGCAAAGGACAGCAGCGATAGTGAGACGATAGTGTCGGGCGAACGGACATGCGAGTTGTCGGAAAAGAGAAAGACAGAGATAGGGTTGGGGTGAAAGATATCCAAAAGAGGGATAAAGAGAGATACTATAGGGAGGGAGAGAGGGTAAGGGATGAAGAGAAGGAGGAGGAAGAAGAGGAGGAGGAGGGTATACGAGTCTCTGTCTTTCTCTGTCCCCTTTTCGTCGCGCACCAAACCGATTGGCAATGTGTAGCCGCGTGCGCCACAACGATGGCCGATCGAAAAAGACTAACAAGAAGGCAACGACGAAAATGACGAAAACAACGACGATGACCAGGACGAGAAAGAAAACGTAGTTTCTCGTCAAACCCACGTCGGTGACGCTTAACGTTGAAGCTGCTCTGGGCGTCGCGGCGCTCACACATCGGCTCACTGAGCCCGAAGTAGGCGACACAGCCGGAACAGAAGACCGCGGCTACGGCCAACAAGGACCGAGAGAGTAAACCGACCTCTCCAGGTACCGTTGCGCGTGCGCCCCTTCTCCTGGTCATCGTCGTTGAATCAATTTTTTAGCTGTTGAAATTTCCGCTAAATTACCAATCGATTCCTTTTTCGTCCAAAAACACTTTTTAAATATTTCAAATGTATCTATTCCCTCGGATAACGTCATTCAACATTTTCGTCCACCTATTTGCGTTTAAAACCATTACTAAGGGAGAGAGAAGTGTGGCGGGGTGGTTCGCAAAGTTATATTTTATTTTTATTAAACAGGGCTTATCTCACAGTAATTTTTCCTAAAGAATGTTAACTTTTAGCGTTTCTTTAGCTTGTAAACAAATTCAAAGAAAATTACATTATCAATCATTTTTTAAATTATAAATTAATTATTTGTTTCAAACAATTTTACGTATTAATAGCAATCCTAAGACTATTAAATATTAAATTTAATTTATTTTCAAAGCGAATGTAATAGTACATATACAGTATATCAATATATATATTTTTTTGTTTTATTTGCATCTAATAAGCTTATGTAAAAATGTCTCAGCTATATGAATTATTAAATTGATAATAATTTATGAATATAAATTCATATAACTTGTTTCAGGCAGCCGTAGACCTTGCGAAAAATCTATTTTTTATTGATAAGATATGAAAGTTTTATAATTTCAATTTAATCTTCCCAATATTCTTCGAATATTTCAGTCGAAAATACGAAAATGCGTGTGCATGCTTGGAAGCTTTTATGTGTCGCAATTACTTAATTGCTTGATACTGATTGGCCTTTTTGGTGGGGGAAAATTGACGGGGTTCTTGGCCCATGATTTGCGTGCTTCGTGTTAGGTGAATTTCTATTGGTTAAGTTGCCTCCAACCCCGACGAATCAGCCGTTTATTTCTAAACTATTTCTACCTTGAGAAACAGTAAGCGCCTAGGTTTTTCTATCAGACACAAATAACTTAGGAAGTAATTCAAAGTATCCTTTAGCGCAATAAAATGTATTCATAGCTAAAAACGATATCCAATAAAAGATAGTTAACTTTTAATGTGTTGCCAAGCGAAATACAAGAGAAGAAGAGAGCTTGGTAACAGTGCAAGTTTAGGTTAGGTACACACTCTGGCGGTGGTTGTACCAAACGTTAGCATCAATATGGCTGTTGTTGGGTGAGCAGTGTGTGGAGAGACGCGGTTGCGGTAGTTCCCTTTGCGGTGTGTAGTATGAGGTATGCTGCAGTAGGGAAAAAACGTTTTTATATCAGACTAACAGGTTATCGAAAAATTCGACAAAATTAATTTTATTGTGGGGAAAAACAGATAAACAACATGCAGAGTGAAAACGCTTCGGTGCAAGGTATGCAGTTTCGGTGTTTGCCCAAGTGTTTTTTTTTCCGAATGTTGTTTACGAATATTTAGCATCCGAAAGCACGCTAGTCTTCACACGCAGCCTCAACACACGTTCGATCGATTTGTCGTTACATTTATTGACATTGTTATTCAGTGCCTACTAACTCAATCCACATAAATGCAAATGAAGTTCCTCGACAACTGTATCTTCTGATATAATTGTATAAGTTCTTTGTGAAAATTTGACTATGTACCCCCCGACATATACTATGTTAATTTTTTGAATAATTTTCCGAAGTATTTCGTGAAGTTAATTTTTTAAAGTATTATATATGCGATGGCTTTGCTGCAAAAGTTTTTAAAAGTTTCTACAAATTTAATAAGTCCTTAATATCGTTAATGTTTCGTAAAACAAGAATGATAATTTGATAATGTTTTTATATCACGTTATATTTATCGTTATTTACTTAATGTCGTTTAAGATCATAAGAAATTTTATATAATTTGTTTGTAATTTTTCCACATTTCTGTGCGAGTTGTATTCAAAAATGTAAGTGACTGTGTTAGTGGGTGCGTGAAGCGTCCGTGTTCGACAAATTTTAAATACTTACCCCCAGACATCAGAGATAATTAACTTTTCCTTCCAAAAAAAAAAAAAAAAAAAAAAAAAAAAAAAAAAAAAAAAAAAAAATAAAAAAAAATGTTTAATTACTACTCTTTCTGTGTAAAATCTAATGCATAAAAAATTGCATAAATTTTTATATGTATATCTATTTACAACAAAAATTCAAACAAGCTTTTTAATGTAATTTTTTTTACTGTGCTTGAAGTATTACTTTAATTAGGTTTATTATGTTCATTAGATTTTTATAATTACATAATTTTTAATTATGGAAGGAAAAGAGTTATTAGAATTTGATTATCTGTATGGTTGCTTTTATTAGATTACTTTTTGATGATTTTTCAAAATCAAATCTTTCAACATACATATTTATAAATGTGCAGATAACAAAAAGAAAATGATTAAAAATGAAGAAATTCCAAAATTGAGCAATGATGCATCAAGATCATCGATTATTGAATTATTTCCTTGGATTTTAAAATTCAGACAAATGTGCAAATGTATATACACGTACAAAAGTATGGCATCTTTAACAGAACTTATGCAATTTTATGTGAGGTAATATTATTACAAGTTTATTCTAATAGTACTTACAGTTTACCAGTAATATTTTTTTTTCTGGGAACTGGTGAAAAAACTATAAAATGTAGTTTTTACACACCTGTTATACTAATAAGGAATTAAAATTATTGCAGTAAAAAATTTAAGATATTTATCAGTAAACTTGTTAAATTATTGTTAATTTAAAATCTTAAAATTTGAAGAATATTTTAATATATAATTTACTTGCAGAAATGTAAGTGCTAGTGTGAATGAATGTTATACAAAGCCTTTAAGAGCTGAAAAATTAAAGGACTTTATTAGCGAAACTTTGGTGTTATTCTTATATATTTATCGGGAGCTTTCTGAGGTAAACACATTTTTTTATCCTAATTTATCACAGTGATCTAGATCATTTTTCTCAGTGGGGGATATATTAATACAGTCTAACTTATTATTTTTTAGGATCAAAATAGATTCATTTATTTAAGTAATATGTCAGACCTATTAGCACTGTACATAGACATGGAGTTGAAGGCATCTAGAAAAAGAATAGAGGATCGTGATAAAATTTGTGCAAGACTTACTTCTTGTCTCTATGTTTATCTAGGTATGATGATATTTTCACACAATATGTATTTTAATTTAAATGTAGACATATAAATGTGTAATATCATTAAGAAAAAAGAACAAACATTTACTTCACATCTCTTTCAGACCATTCAGTTGAGCATTTATTAGATACTTTAATGAAAATACAATTTATGTGTCAGAGCTATCATGATATTTTGGACCCAGTAATAACGTAAGTACAAATCATAATGAAAAGTTAGTTTTCAGGTTCCTTTCAAATCAAAGTTAATTAAAGTGTGATAGTATATTATGTTATATGGTTCTTTAGGAAAATAATGAAAAATATTCCTGCACACCCAGAAACAAGTATCATGTATCTCCGTTATTTTTTAATTTATTGCTTGTGGAGGAAAATAAATGATGATATGGCTGTAAGAAATCAAATAACAGCTACTGCACTTGCATCTCTGGGGCCACTGCCATCTACATTTTCACCAAGTATATTAGGAGATGTATTACCAAAAGTGCCAAAAAATCAACAAAATTCTACAGAAACTCTACTGCAGCACAAATTTGATATAAAAAAACATTGTGAAATATTTCTACAGTACTGCAGAAAAAGCAATGGAAGTGAATGCCAGAAGGACGGACCTGCACCTCTCACTGATTCGTCCAGTAGTATTAACTCAAAAATGGTATTTATATTTTTATATTACTTATTTTTTTTTTACAAAATAGTAATTTTGTTTTGATAAACATAAAAATGGTGATGATACAAGTATTACACAACTAAAGTTTATCGTTTACATGTACACAGGCGATAAGCTTTGTGCAGATAACACAATTAATTTTATTATGCCAAAACTAATAAAATTTGTGTTCACGCTCAGCCGGAAGATAGCGCAGTTAAACACATAGAGCATGTAGATAATGTAAATTCAGTAATATCAGATAAAACTAAGCAAAACGAGTCTATTTCTATGCTAAAATCTTTGAAATTTCATAATTTGGAAGAAAAAACTAGTTTTAAATGTTTAGGTAGTTTTTCGAATAATATTTCAACAAAGCAAATTAATCCTAATCTTATTAAATCAAATAAAAATTGTTCACAAAGAAAATGTAAAAAGTCCAATGAAATTGTAATAATCGATTTAACTAGCGATGTAGTACTGGAAAAATGTATAAAGAAAAGAAAGTTGAGAAAATTGCCGTGGTTAGAAGAGGCGAAGAAAAGGATTGATATGAAGATAGTGAAGTCATCACAGAAGATGAAGAAGAAAAAGAAGCACAACCAAGAGAATGGAGATCGTATTCAGAATCCACTGAATATGTTAAGGAGTTACCACACGAAAGATACACTTCAACCATCAAATTGTGTGGAAAAAGTCGGTTCAAGGAACGATTCAAATACTTGCCAGTCGGCTGGCGTTAAAAGTAATGAGAATAACATTGAGATCAATGCCGAGTTGGTAAATTGTAAAGAGAATACGAGAAAATTAAACGGCGCCGAAGTCAATATTAAAGAAGTAAACGTGAAAGTCTCGCCGGGAACTGTTGCGCCAGTTTTAACAAAGATTTTCTCATCAAAAAAGCAAATATCAAAAATATCAGATATCGTTATTAGTAATAATTATTTAAATAACGGCGATGTTTCGAATGTACAGAGCGACGAAAAAGAAAACGATAGATTTAATAAACAGACTGTGATTAAGCGACTGATAGAAACAGACATTTTCCCCGAGTCTGAAGCGTGCGAAAAAGTTGAAAGTTTTAAAAAAATCTGTGATCTAGAAACGGAACGGCCGGGTGTAAATAATACCGCTGTATGTACTCAGTATTATTTGAAAGGGGATCCCGTTAAATCTAATCGTTCTAAGTTTAATGTAATTACCGACGAAATGACTGAGAAAGTTACATTATCGATAAACGAGGAACACGATCAGGATATTTCAATTGACGAAACGTTACGCAATGTTTGTTCTAGCGAAACAACAGGCTGTACTAATAACATAGTTAATTTTGAAATTAAGCAAAAAGAATTTACAAAAGGTACGACTTTTACTAAAGCAGCAGAGACTTTTGAAATCAAAGATACGCAGCAATTATCGCGTGAAAATTCAGTGACAGAAGAAAAGTTTGAACCGCAAACAGAATTGAAATCACTAAAATCTGCGAACACAATGGATGAATCGAAGAAGGAACGATATTGTGCGCAAATAGAATTAGAAAGTTATAATTATGAGACGGACAATGATGTAACAGGAGATAAATCAAGCATTGCTAATAGTAGAGAATCTATTTTCGAATCTTATTCTATAAATAAAAAAGATATTTCTAATACAATTAATGCAACGTGCCCGAGTGAAAATTCTTGTAAAAATTTTAATAAATCCGTTGATAAGAAAGACGTTCCTGAAGAGATGTCCCGCTCGTCATCAGAGGTAACGTCGAAGAGAGAGTGTGACAATTCATACAAAGTAACAGATCAGGTAAATGTACGTAATAGTATCGATAATAAATATAATATCGTTCAAGATTCCGAATTACAAGATAGTATCGATGGTCTGTCGTTGTTGGCTAGCGTTTCGCAACACGTGCCTCACTTAAAACCTGAATCCGAGGTAAAGTGTGAACAAATAAAGGTAAAAGATTACGCATCCTTGAAGTACACGTGTTACAATCAAATCACCGACGATGAAACGGACACGAATGATTCTTCGAACACCGTGTCTCAGTTATTGGAAAATCCATCCTCAGAAATCATCAACAGAATCGTTGGTATTTACCCGGAGGATGAGTTAAACAAGGTACTTCACGTTGAAGTAGCGTCAAACGACACGGACGATAATAAATTGTGCAAAATAGCATCTAATTCTGAAGCAGAGGTAAATTATGAAACGGAAATGTTAACGAATAATTTCGCTCCTACAGAGAACAATACACAGGCCATGAAAGAGAACACAAATGTGATACTTAACGGAGAGACTGTGGTTCTACTACAGAAATCACCCAACAGCAATTTGTACATAATAAACAAAGCTGTGGAGAATTCAAAGGATCACATCAACGACGAAGACGGTGGTAAATCGAAGGAAAAATCTTGGGTATCCTCGTCTGAAGAGTGTGGACAGTTCGAAGCCGTTACTTCCCTGGATCATGCATCGTACAATTTAGAATTAACCTTGTACAATAAAGAATTACCATACCAAGAGAACAAATTCAGTTCAGTCGCGAGAGGCAAAGGAATCAAGGTAGAGCTGGAGGACGGTAATTTCTCAGATACAAAATCCTATTCGCTATCCACCGAAATGCTCCCCGTCAATTCCCAGATGTATCAGGATGTAAATGCAATGAGCAAATCGATCGATAAGCGGAAATCCTCGAATCTCGCGTACCGTCAGAATATTAAACAGGAGTATAGCAACATATCCAATCACATCCCGTCGAACTGCGTCATTCCGGGGTGCAATAGAATTCATTCGCATTCTCACGATGTCGATGCTCAACACCCTCTTCACATACCCGCCACTCATCCGACCACGTTGCCACAGATTTATGGTAATTGCCCTGGAAACGCGGACTTGTGCGTACCGTATCACAAACACTGCACCTCCGTATCGTGCAACCTACAAATCAACAACGCCACGTCCCTTTGCTCTCATTCGAAATCGAGCAGCCCGTGCGGAAGGTCGCGTTGCTCTTGTTTAAATTGTACGTACGATATCGTCACGCATTGTAGACAATGTATACATCCGAGCGCGGATACTCGCGTGTCTTGTATCGAAAGTACTCCGTATTTCTTGCCGGCCCAGTCGCCAGTACAAAGCCCTACCGTCCAGGAGCATGAGAGAACGAAAAGCGAGACCGTGATAGGGAAACGGTACGATGATCAGTTGTTGTGTAAAATAGAGAAGAGCCTGTTGCAGAGTAACACGTTGGAGAAGCTCGAGGTGCAATGCGACTCGAAGAAGGTATTCAGAAAGGAGGCGGATAACAAGTTGCCGTTGAAGAAGAGGTTGAAGGTGCACGCTATGGCGTACGAGGAGATGCCGATTAAAGCCGAGAGGATGGATAATTATCCTGCTGTGCCTATGATGTCGATAGCTGCTTTAGAAGCGTCAGAGAGTAGTCAGAAGAGATCTGTTCTTAAGAGCGAATACCAATTGTTTTCCACTAGCAAGGAGGATCCTCGTGATGAATATCATTGCGGTTCTGGCTTAGCGAGAAGAAGTTACTTAAAAGACTCTGCTACTCGTCAAAATCTTACCAAAGAGAATACGAAAAAGATCGAACGTCAATTTCGTTTGACAAACGATCAGCCTGATAGTACATTGTGCCAAGAATCTTGCCTACAACGGACAGTGAAAACGACAGTGGAGGGCAAAGAAATCAATTTGCCTGATATAACGTCGTTGAAAAGATTCGAAATGGAGTCGATGGGGGAGGAGGGAACGTATAAGAAGGCTAAAAAGACACCCTTAAGGCAAACGAGAAGTTCAAAGAGAAACGTTCCTAAGGTAAATTATTCTTACACCGATGTTGATCCAGAATGGAATCCGTCCGGTGAGTCAAAACGCAAACGTAAAAAGACTAGTCGATGATTGATACCGCCTCGTTATAACGATTCCCTATTGTAAGAAATGTTTGCTCGGAATTCTAATTAAAAAACAAAAAGCAAGTGTACATTAATCTGATAAGACTGGCATTGTAAAATTTGTAAATATTGTACAAACGGAGGTGAATCGTCACGGGAAGATTCGTGCGCGTAGTACAACTTCTGAAGATCAACGTCAGTGAAGATTTTTTGGAGGGACCTCGATGCGTCAACCTGGAAGATATTTAGAGATCATATAGATCGTACATGTGTTCACGTTAGATTTTATACAAAAGCTATAAAAGATCATTTAATGTTTATAAATTTATTGTGTATAAGACTGGGCAGTATTATACATTCTTTTTCTATTTTTTTTTTTTTTTTCTTTTTAATTTGCTCACTTATACTTAGTTTCTTAATAATTCTCATTAATTTAATGAATTTAAAATTATTTAAAAATGAATTTTAACTTTTAAAAGGACTAGATTTTGTATATTCTGAAATGAATTACTTTTGTATATACGTAATTCTGTACATATACGATATAGTAATGCAAAGTAATAACATGCTGAAATTTCAATTTTATCAATATTCTACTGAAGGTAAGATGATTTATATACTTACAAGTAAAAATAAATTTAATATAATTTAATGTCTGCAATCATGAAGCAGGGCTTTCAATATAAATGTTTTATAGAATTCTCAGATTAAAAATAATGTTACATAATTATTTACAGCGTTGAAAGTACGAATGAATATAATGCATGAAAATACAACTAATTTTAATTTTATTTTAAATTTTAAATTAGTGTTTTCAAAATTTAATAACTGTTTTACATTTTACAGTTCTATGAATTATGTAAATTCAGAGAAATAAGACAACCAGGCTGATGATAAAATTAAATGTTGCCAAACAAGACTTGAATAGGTAAAATTGATGATGAATTGTAAAGTATATTTTTTTGAATAATATCAATATTAATTCTATAGTTACTATGTTATAGTAAGTTCAGAAATTAATAATATTTTACATTTCAGATTAAATTATTCCCTCGTATTCAAGGACTTCAAGAAAATACAAACTCCACAGTGTCAATAAACTTGCCAAATTACATAGAAGTAATTGTACCCCCATGCAGAATGAGATACGTCACATTTCATTTTTCGATCTGTCCCCTTAATATCTATACCAACATAATTTGTTATAAGTACACAGATATGTATCACAATGCAGATAACATAACTAGTCATCACTAATTGTTTAGAAATGAAAACTTTCATTCTATTTACACAAGAAACTACAACAGAATAATAGCTACTTAAAAAAAAAATCAGATTAAAAAATTAAAAACATTATATAGAACTTATAAAAAGAAACATTTTAGTCTTTATATAGTTGTTAAAGTGAATAGGAATTTTTTTACATAAAAAGTCATTTGATATGATACTCGAATTAATAGCATTTTGCATTAATTTATGTTTTAAAGACTCTACATATATTTTTAATAATTATTCGGCTACTTTTTCCAAATGTGGGTAAAATATGCCTCACTGTACAAATTTTAAATGGAAAGAGTTAGTGTAACGTTTAAAGGATAAACGTCCAAGAATCTTATGCGTTAATCATCATTCAAGTCAATTTATTACTTCATTTTTAGTTCGAATGTCTTTGACGTAAATGTAACAATCATGTCCAGTCATTTAAAAATCAGAAATGACTTATATACCCTAGTGCCATATCCTTTATGTTTGATGTTCATGTCTACAACTATTAGTTAATTATTATACCTGATTCTATTAATATATAGTATATTTACTTGAATGTTTTATCACAGAAAGTATAATGAAATTTTACGGTTTTGCTCATCATCGACAAATATCCAATTCGTTCCTCGTCATACAACTAAGCATAATCAAATTTTACTATTTCATGATGAAACGTCTTTGATACAAATAATAAAAAATAAAGTTTATCATATGTACAAAGTTTACAAATAGCTATAAATCTCGCATTCAACAAAAAGTTACATGGTATTCCTAAGTTCTTATATCGTTACCATTAATTTATGTATTCATTTGAAAAAGAAGTCTGATAGTTTTAAGTTGAACCTAAATAGATTTATGATTTTATGTACTGATTGAAATTATATGATCAAATAATTGCCAACTGCTTCCACGTGGTATGAGCTGATTATTTATAGAGAAAATTGTTTTATGCAGCGTGAAGCATTTGTTAAGGAAAGTCTGATATCAGAGATATTAATTTAGTACAATAACATCACATCAAATCCCTCATTCATTCGTGTTCATGAAAAAAATTCATTATTGTGTCTGTGTAGAACAGTCTGTCATAATAATAAATAATATTAGTAGTAATAAACCCGTATTTGCCTATACTTGTAAATTACATACATAGGTTGAATTCTTTAAAAAGTATATTACCAACATACTTACCTCACATTTACCTCCCAGACATTCATCTTTTACGTTTATATTGTAACTAAAACTGAACGTAATATAATTTATAACAGGGTACAATTGTCTGAATACTTTTAACATTTTTTTATTTTTTTTATTTTGTAGTTGCGTTTTTACAAAAGATTTTAATTTGTAATAGTATACCTGATTTTATAAAACGTGTTTTTGGTATATTTATATATTCATTAATGAATTTTTATTCTTTAAATATTCTATGAATATAAATTTTTTTTGGGTTGCTAATGTATGTACTTTAGATACAGTAATTCATATTGTCATTTTTCATAGAAAAGATTAAATTAGAATGAAGAATGTATAAAAAATAAAACTATTTTAAATTCCAAAGCATATAATAAATATAGTTGTAGTTTCTTATATACCGAATATATTTTTAATTAGGCTTTTAAAAGTAGGAGATATAGAAATAATACAAATTATTTTAAATTCAATGAAATATGAAAATATATATCTGTAACTTTTTATGTACAGTTATTGTAAATACAAGCATCTTTAAATATATTGAAATGATCTATTAATAATTTACGTTTAAAACATTAGCAATATAATGATAGTGTTTTCTTCTCCATTGTTAAAATGGAGAAGGAAAGATCCTGATGAGTTCATGACCCTCATCCAATTCATTCATCACCAAAGGTTCCATTCCATATTCTATTTGCATGTGATAATTTATTAATGCATACTGTGCAATAAGTAATTTGTTTTTAGTAATAATAAGTACCTCTTAAATTCGGTTTTTAAATATTTTAATGAGATTATAAATTTCTACAAAATATAAAAAACTTCATATTATCCTAGTTATATTACCATCTATAATTTTTAGGATATATATTAATTTGTATTACGTTTCTGTAACTGAGTATAAATAACTTTATCATAGTCTGAAATTTGAATCAATATTATTTTATTAGGATAAAATAAAGATACAATAATATTTGCTTCGGGGAAAGTATTAAAAAATCTAAAACTAATATTATTTCGCTTTACTTTCAGCAATCAGATATATTTTATTTGCTTTATATTATGTAACTTAAACTAATTTTTTTAAAAAGTATTTGGTATTTTGTACCTTCTTAAATCTATAACTTAAAATATCTTATTGTGTTTAATTTAAAACATATCATTAACAGTCTGGCAGCCTCTATTGTATAAAACTATTGTACAAATTAATGAATGACATATGTAAAATTTGTACAATGGAATAGTCTAATAATACAAAATACAATGAATATAGATCACTAACAATTAAAACACTAAAAACATATATCTATAATTTAAGCATTGTAAAAGAGATCATTGAAAACATTTCTGTCATAAATTTTATATCTAAAGGCATACTTTTTATAGATGGTATTAAGTATATCTATATATATTTACAAAGTGATGAGCTTAGAAAAATTGGAAAGATTTTAAAAGATCAAATATAACATCTAAGTAATTCTTAAATTTATTTTAGATTCTAATATAATATTTTAAAAAGTAAAATTCATAATTAAGTGTCACAATACATATTTTTATTTGTACTGAAATAGAAATAAAAGGATACGGACTATTATTAAAAATTCTTTGGAAGTAACATACAATAATGTAAATTTATAAAATTGATACTTTGTGACATTTTAAACTCAACCTTTTTGGTTTTTAAACATTCAAGTAATTTAATTATTATAATTATTAATATTTTTATTACATTAGTAATAGTAATTCTTTTTATATTCCTGAAAAGTTTGTCTTACTGTAAAGAAAATGCATTTAAATAATGTATCTTTGTATCAATTGTTTAAAGATTCATACAGTAGTAATTTATTTTTCTAAATTCGTAGCAGTTTGTAGAAGTACATTTCTAAATGTATTTAAAACACCTGTTGACTCTAATGAATGGGTAAGGCTAATTTTAGAAATATTGTACATGTTTTAACTGTTACTCACTTATCGCTTTTTTGCGTCTACTTGCACATATGATACCTGTGAACAAAATATTAACATATATAATTCAGTTATTAGATATTATATTACAAATATATTATGAACTTAGATTTATACAAAACAACCGTAAAATAAGCTTACCTGAATATTATTACATTCTTAAGTATAAAAAAGTAGTGTTAGAAAAGAAATGTTGATGTATCTGGCAACATTACTTTCTTACACTTCTTAAAAATAAATATTTTGCTTTGAATTATACATTTACATAAAGTCTATTGTATTTTTATTATCACAACGAATTGCACTTATGCAATAATTGTAAGGCACTAAACATACTGGAATGATATCTTCCAGTGTAGATCTTCCATGTAGAGAATTATATCAATTGTTTATTAAAATATCCAATACTAAAGAATTTGATTTGTAAAATTATAAAACTACATTATTGGTACTATAATTTTGATTTTATGAAAATATATATTATATGCACAGAAACTGATATGTTTAAAGAAGAAAAACAAAGATTAAAGAAAATGCTAATTTATGTTTAAAATGAAGCAAAGAATACAAAAATATAACTTTACCTTTTTTTACAGAAGTAAAATGTTTCTTTTGCATTTTCTGTTGATTTACAGAATACACAACTGCATTTGCTTCCAAATTTGATGAAAGCTTTGAAGCTAATTTTCTTCTCTTTAAGGGCATTTCTTCATCTAAAGTTACAATCATCTGTTTCTCAATAAGCTTTGAAGACTGTTTATCTGCATTTTGTAACGACCAGTTGGCATCAGATTGAACAAGCGTGTTATTTGAAATATCAGTTGTAACATTTACTTTACTAACATCTTCATCAAGTTCTGTATTGTTTTTCAAAAATTTTATAGAAGTTTTATTATCTGATATATGTGAATCTTCAAGTGAGCAGGATACATTTGAATCTTCCGAGATGTTATCTTCCGTGATGTGTTTGAAATTCTCTAATTTCGGGTCCTCTTTGAAAATTGCATCTATCACAGTATCGTTATGGAAATTCAATAACATTTGCTGTTTTCGTTGAGATATATTTCTTAATCTCTGAATGCCTACACATTTGAACTGTTTGTATTCATTTTCAGAAGTACATGTAATTTGTGGTGATTTTTGACAATATGATACATGAAATGTTGATAAAGGTAATTCACATGTATTCTGCGTATCCTGATGATTAAGAATGTTAATACCAGTAAGCTGTGAACATCTTAAACTTAATTCATTATGCTTTGATTGAACAATAGACGAAGATGATTCTTCCTTTTTTCTTTTCATTTTAATCTTCTTTTTACATTTTAATTTTCTATTGGATGATCTAGACTGTGTACAAACTTCTATTCTATGTTTTGCAGTGTAATTTTTCTTCTCTGTACAATAATGTTGCATGTTTTTCTGCTTTATGGAGCTTTCATATTCATCCTCTATACACTGTGGAATTGTATTTGTATTGCACGACATTAAATCGATGGAAGACAGTAAGTCACAGGAATCTAAAGGCTGTTTTACTGATGAAGGATTCGTTTCAAATTCTAAATACACATGCTTATCCGATGATTGAATATCATCTTGCTGTCTTGATGTGCAATTTATTGAGGGATTTAATGGAATTTCATTGGAAGTAGAAATTTCAGATGAAACTTGATTTACTGTATCATTAAAACATTCGATTTGGTTAACAGTATCTTCCTTTTGAAAAATATAGGATTTTTCTGTTATACTATCGGTATCAAGCTTACTAATAGGACTAGAAAGACAACACTTAGGAAATGATTCTTTTACTTCAGAAGATATGCCATCTGAATTCACTAAATTAGCTGATTGATCAGGAGATAAATTTTTAATTAGCGAAGGAAATTCAAGTGATTTTTGTTTACTTGTATTTAATCCAAATCCAACCACATCCACACTACTATCGATTAAATAATTGTAATTGCTACATAGTTCTCTTTCCTTTTGCAAAAAAATATTTTCTTTATTTCTTGCAAAACTTTGGTCCTGAGAATTTAATTCAGAGCTATCGTAATCTTTGGTTGAAAAAATTTCTGTTTCAAATGATTTTTTAATTAATCGTGGATTAACTGCTTGTACATTTGAATACATAAAATCGTTTGAAGGAAAATCCATATTTGTTAAATCAAAATCGAATAAAGAATTTAGAATTCCAATTGTTCCAAGACTACCCTCAGGTAATGGTGTTTGAGTATTCTCTGAATCTGTTACAATATATTTTTCTTCCTTTTTATTTGAATGCGTATGTTCAGATTGTGAAAAAAATTCTGCAATACAATTTAACACATTGTTTGAATTATCATAATTAATTGGCGACATCAGTGGCGACTGCCAATTTTCCATAATCTCTTGCTCATCTTCAATGGTTATATCTCCATTTAGAATGTTATCTAAAATATCAGTATTCTCGAATTCATCCACGGAATGTGTTTTCGTTATATTAATCTTTTTTGAAAAATTCTCGCAATGTACATCTTGATTTGGTTCTTTAATATTTTTGGGATCATTCATATAAAATTCGTTGGTATGATTATTCGTTAATAGAGTCATTTTAAGTTCGTTCGTTTGTTCGGATTCGTCACTTAAAATTCTGAAACTTTCATTATCTTCTTTCTTAACAGACTGTTCAATTTCAGACTTTATATGATTGCAAAGAAAACTTCGAGAAGACTTATCTTCATTGTCTTTGCCGTGAGTGTAATAATCTCTGGGTTGTGATGTCGAAACAATGATCTTTTTACACTTATTCGAATCATATTTCAGTTGATTCAATGTAGTGTTGGTTTCTTTATCATTCCATCTGTGAAAATCTTGACAATTACACATATTCGGTAATTCCTTTTTATCATATAATTCTAAAATTTTATTCAATTTCTCTAAATTTGTAAAGGAATTTATATTTTGCACCCAACTGGATGACGATCCTGGAATTTGATTTTCAGAAATTGTAGTAGCAACGGTACACATATCTGTTTTATCCGAACAGTCTAATCGTTGTTTTTCTGCATGTACTGTCATAATATGTTCACCAATACGATTTAACACGTTCATGCATTTGTCAAGGTCGCTTAACATACATATTACATTTTTGTCACAAATTAATTTCTTGTCTGTGGTACTATTTTGTGTCGCATCTTCGCTTTTTATCATATTAAATATACTATTGTTATGATAAGAAAAAGGTTTCATCTCAATCTTTTTACAGTAACCTGTGCATTCATGAGTGTCACAAGAAAGTTTTTGTTTCACAGCTTCTGTTACCTGTGAACCATGGCTGTTCATAGATATAAAATCATGTAAATGACAATCACTTTGTACATAAACAGGTTGATTTCGACAATATGTATCAGCTTGTGTCGTATTACAATTTGTTGATAATTCTTGCTTTATAGATTGTGTACTTGTTAAATTATTTTGGCACTCATTTGACAAGGGTATTGTCTCTATGGAACTTTTCGGTTGAAAGAATGATTCTTCTTTACCCTGAGTATCTATTACGCTAGATTTATTGGCTGTACTTTTAGAAATAAAGGTATGTTGAGACATTTCATTTTCCTCTCTACTTTCCTTAAGTAGATTTAATATAGTTTTTGGTACTTTAATATTTTGTCCCACTGTATCTAAAAGTTTTAATAATGCTAACAGTTTATGGCGTTGTAAATTAATTTGTTTTAATGATGATGTATCACATTGTTTGTGTTGAAGTAAACATTTTAATTCGTTATTTCTTTTATTTAAAATATAACCATATATGCTTTGTAAATTAACATGAATATTATCTTTGATTGGTTCTTGTTCCAATGAAGTACAGCTTTCTGTACTTTCACTAATTTTATTGTCCAAAACTGGTGAATGCTCCAAAAGAATATTATCTGTAAAATATTCAGAGTTTTCTTTACTATGAACTACAATCTCCGCTTGACTACTGCACTTTACTTCATTATTTTGCTTTTGTACTTTATATTTCTTTCTTGTCATTTGTAACCATTCCAATTTTTTATTATTTCTTCTTTTGTTCTTCTTCTTATTTACCGTCAATTCATCTTCCTTAGTTAAATCAATTAATATTACTTCTCCGGGTTTTAATTTCGACACTTTTTTATGTTTTCTATACTTGTTTCTTGCATTAATTACAAACATTTGATCGATAGTTTTATTAAATTGTATGTCATTTTCGAAGAAACAATCATTTCTTAAATTCCTTACTTTCCTTCTTTCGCACTCATGGTTTGTAGTATGTTCTTGAACATCACAGAACAAAATCTGAAAATGTTAGAAATTAAGAAAATATTAAACAAACGCTATATTTACAGAACACTATGAATATTTTATAATGTAAAAATTACCTGTCAAGTATTGTAATCGTTTAAATTAGAAAATTTTGCTAAATGAGAATCCCTAAAACGGACAGACATTGCATCCTCAAATGCTAAGAAGTTCTTGGATGCTGTTTTTAAGTCAAATACATTTGGTTGCAACAACCAGATAGTTTCATTTTCATATTCTATGGGAGGTTTTGGTATAATCTTCAACAACTCATCACGCATTTTCGGTATACATGACCCCAATATTGTTAAAGCAATCTTATTCACTTCTTTTTTCTCTTTAACGTTTTCCTTCGTTCTTTTCCACATTTTTAAAACAAGCAAATATCTAACATAATCTATGTCTATCAGGGATTCCATATTTTTTTCTAAACTGGTAAAACTTTTCCTATTGTAAAAAATTTTTTATATAAAGTATTGTACAGTATCGAGCACAGTAGACTTTCTTAGGAAAAATGGCATTAAAAGGGTAGCAATCAGAAGGGCATCAGAAGGGCCGGGAATTCAGGAAAACGGAGAGGGGTATCGCCATTTTTCCTGGGGAAATTTACTATGCTCAGTATTGTACAATACAAATTTTCTTTTCTTAAATTAGTAATAAAAAAAATATTAAAGGTTTACATACATGAATATAGGATCACATATTTTTGAGTACTTTTTAGTAACAAATTTAAGTTTAAGTAATACTCTGAAGATATACTTTTCTGAATTATCTGAAACAAAATTGAATAGATAATTATTTTAAATATGTTAATTCCCATAACGAGTGTAAACTTACTTAAATATATCCACAATACTGAAAGAAGTTTGGCTGCCAGTTTAGAAGAATCCATATTTTGTTTAAAGGTCTGGAATTCCATGTCTATGTACATTCCTAATAATGCTGACATTTCATTTAAATACCAATCACAATCATCCGCATCCTATAAAATATTTAGTAAGATGTTCATAAATCAACATTTTAAGTATAATTAAAACTAATAATGTTAAAATACCTCTTTAATTTCATGCCAATAAAGATGGAAAAATGTTAATGTATTACTTATATGGTTTTTTAACTTTATCATATCTGATGTCTTTTCACAATACATATTTATACTCTTCAAAATATTTCTGAAACATTTAATAAAAATCAGTTGTTTTTTATTTATATATACTTTCAATATTTCTTAAATGATCAAAGATAATGATCTTACTGTTTATAGAGAAGAAGTAAATATTTTAATAATGGGTAACTCTTATTCCCCACAGATGAACACATTATTTTATTAAATTTATTAAACCATGGAAATATATTTTCACATAATTTAGCATCAATAAATTGATTATTTAAAACCTCCTCAGTTTCATGTTTTGTAGATATATTGGTATACTTTTTGTGCATCCATACAAAATCTATTTCATCTCTTTCATCCATTGTTATTTCATTTGTATAAAATTCTGCTATAAAAATATAAAAATTAAGATAACACTAAAATATCTTATACATGTCCAATTATATGAGAGGCATAAGACTTAAACATTAATTTATTTTAAAAATATATTCAACGTAAGTAATGAATAAGAACTGTTAACTGCTAATATTTTTGTTCCCTATACCTCTCATAGTATATTAGAATAATAATATGCTTCTTACTTGTGGAATTCTTATTTTTCAAATTATCATTCAAAGTAAAGGAATTGCATAGATTCATCTCTGGTGGAGGTGGAACCATGACTACCATTCAAAATAAATTTTATAAAACCTAGAAACAAGTGGTTGCATATGTAGTTATCAATAATACCCATATATAATTTTTATTATCTTTGAAATAAGAAGTAATTATTAATAGATTAAATATTATAATTTTATAGTATATCCATAAGTTATATAAAAGGGAACATTACCTAATCTTTTCAGCGCAATTATAGCCAAATTCCTTATACACCTTTCAGTACAACATTCGGTACAATTTCTATATTCTTATGATCGATGTGATCGCGTGTCAGTGGGAAGGTACATCGTAGAAAATATCTAAAAAGACAACAATCAACAATGAAAGAGCGGAAGTTTTTCTTAATACGAACTTGTTTAAGAACGTGTCCAATGTGCGGCATTATAAACACCCCCACACCCCTGATTTATGCTTTTACAACGCTTACTACTACATACCCAAAAGAAAAGAAAATTAAATGGGCACAGTTGTTATTTTTTTTCTCTGTGAATTAACAGTTTCATTGCTTTAGTTTTTCAGTGTTTGCAACAGCACAGTCGCATGCGACGATAATTTTGCTGACCTGCGCCGTCGCTTGTCGTACTTAAAACTTGTTATAGTTCTTCGAAAATTGAGTGAAACGCGACGCCTGGCACCGATTGTTAATTTAACGTCGTCGTGATTCTAGCGTTCAAAGCATTCGTCACGGAAATTCGGAATACAGGAACGGTCACTCCTTTTGAAGAACCCTTATGCATTCTCAGAAATAATAAATTTTTTACGCTAATAATTTTTCAATTTAACTATACATGTTTAATCAAGTTTATATAAATTTTATTCTATCACTTAAAATTAATTGGAGTCTTTGAAACCGTGATTGCATAACTGGTCATCATTCTAGAAATTAAGTTATTACTTATGATTAGATTTAATATTTAAACAACTGCTAATCTTTACAAAATGAAAATCATTAGAGAACAGAGATACTATTCTAAAATAGTGAAAATAAATGATTGTGTAATTGTATGAAAAATCTTACGAGAGAAATTTGATCGAACAGTCGTCTGACACAAGTTATGTCACGTGTAGTCGAACGTATGGTGTCAATCAGTGTCAATTTAAAGCGTTTAGTATATACGCTCCTGAGAAGAGAAGTTGCATACAGAAGCGCAGACGTTGCGCGAACTTTTCAGCTATAATAACCGCTAGCGGCCGATCACGTATGTGACATGGCGTCCGGGTAGAAAGAAAGTTGACTGTTAAATAAGCGTTAATGTTGTTTTTATGACATTGACCAACCGAAAAGGGAACATCCGAGGCCGCGAATTTCCCACAGACACCGGCATTGATGGTAATGCATGCGAGGAAACCACAAAGGATCAGCGATGGGTAGGGTACCGCCGTCAAATACCCAATCCTGACACAACCAACCTCTACTCACCTCACCTCTCATCACCAAGTCCGTCCATCCGACCCACTCGACATCACTACTACCGCCATTCACGGGACGTTTCTCCTCGATGGAAATTTCATTTTCCATCCCGGAACACCCGCTGTCTAACGATACGATTTATCATTTACTTTGTATGATTTCAGGTACTTCGAAAAGCACCAGGCCCATCCCTATCAGGTAAATATCATCGAGCAATTGGTGTTGGGGATTTCGGAGGGGGGTAATTTATCTACAGTGCGGTTGCACGCATAATTTTACCGCGATTATTTTTCGCCTTTGTTTAGAAAATATAAAATTCATCTCTTTATTTAACGCTTTTTCTTGAAAAATTGCGCGATCATCTGTGTCATCGTTCTTTTCATATTTTCTAAGTCATACTTTTTTTTCCTCCGGCTCGTTATTATGAACTAACGATTAGTACAAATTATTTATAAAGAATTCATTATTGGCTTTAAGTATTAGAAACATTACAAACATCTTTTTCAGTGTTGTGATATTTCTCCTGTAATTTACCCGCCTATTTTGTTAATTTTATTGTGGTGTAATTTTTATGCAATCCTTATGTGTTTAGTGATATATACATTATTATTATTATATATATGTTTATGTTATTACATTAGATTCTTCATAATCTAATGTTTCAGTAATATTATGCAGATAACTTTCTGTAACATACCATGATAATGTAAAAAAAATAGCTTTCTCTTTCTATACAAATTTAATACATTTTATGCATTAACAACTAACAACATCGTTGAATGTATGTAAGTTGCTTTAATATTCATATCATTTGTCTGTTCTAACGAATATTTTAATGCTATAAGTACAGATACTTTGATTATGCACATTTGTCGAATGTATGTATATAACTAAAGTCTATTGTGCATAAAAAGATGCTTCTTTTTCACTTCAAATAATTAGCTCAAAAAAATGAGTCCAATTAGTAAAAATATTGCATTGTTTTTAAAATGTTTTAAAAACATTAATTGTAATATTGTCCTTGAATGTAATATAGTTACAAATGTGCATGAAATTTATATGATTTTTAATGTATTGTTTATAGCTTACATTGAATGTGGTAAAAATAATGTACAAATTATCGTATATTTATCAGGTTTTGTGAAAGATGACAATTTTTTTCATCTTGTAAATATAACCTCACTTGTAGAAAATCAATAATTCATTCTTCATTATGTAGATTACTAATAGTGATTTAGAAATATTATACTGACATTTTAATTAGAATTTCCTTTGTGATAGGTTATTTATAAAAGTTATACCTCTACTAATATTAACTAATCTCATACTTAATTTGTATTAGATAGGTTCATTCAGTTTTATGTAATTCATGAAAGTTATATTAAATTATTCATTAAAACAAAGTACATTATTAACTATTTTCTTCATAAAATGTATTCTATGTAGATGAAATAAAAATTTGCACTCTTGTTTTTACCATTGCATGATTATTTTATGTATTACAGATGTTTGTTACATTTATATTGTGATCCTAATATGTTTTATTTATGTAAAATTGAAAAAATGATATCAAATGATATGAATATTTAATATTTGTTTTATTTATTTTTCACAAAATAAAAAATGTCTGCTTTACTTACATTGAATATTTTTTATTGCAGAACGCAAAGTACAGCAGTTCTAAGGGTGGTTATTCCTCATCAACGACATCATCAGATGGTCGTTACGAAGGACGTATGCGAGATTCCCCAAATGGCAACTCTTACAGTCCAGCAGCGGGCTTGGGTATGGGCATGGGAACAGACAGAGATAGTCCTCGCAGCTACACATCTAAACCCCTTTACAAGAAGGAGAGAGAAAATAGAGACTACAAGTTATCCTCCTCTAGGGACAAGTATTCGGGTAATTAAATTTTATATCTGTTTCTCTTAATTGTTCAATATGGTTTAGGTTTAATGTACTTTAAAGTAATATCCAAAGTAAATCACTAAGAAAGTAATTAAGAAACATAGTCATGAATTTATAAAATATTGTATTGAAAAATTCAATAATTGTAATTATTTTATGAAGAACAATAATACAGTCAATTTTGCTACAACCAGTAAAAATTAAAGATTATAATTAATAAGGAAGAATTAAGTGTTTTTTGCATTGTTAAAAGTTAAAGTTTTATGTAATTGGAATAAAAATATTTCCTAAATCAATTGGGAAAAAAAAACGGATTATTATTTGGAAATAGAAGAATATTACCAATTTTATTTAATAAAATACCATTTGTTACATATGATATTCTACACATGTTTTATGTATAGAAGCACACAATTTAGAATATAATTTAAAAACTTCATAGTTCACTATTGTGCACAAATATAGAATAAACTTGTGCATAAAATAATTATACAAATTATAGAAGAATAATGAACATAAATATATTTTATATTTATTTATTTGAGTAAGAATTTCATTAAATATAATAAGTGACATGTTTTCATTTCATTTTATAAATAAAATTTTATGTTTCAAATTATATAAAAAAGAAACTGTTACAAAATCGACTGTATAACACTTTTTTCTTTGAGAAATAAAGATTTAATTCCTCTTTCTTCAGTATAAAAACAGGGTTGTGTCTTAACATTTTCAGCTGTAACATGCTTACTTGCATATGTGTAGATTGTGCACGATCCCCAAAAGACAAGAGAAGCCGTGAGAGCAGAGATTCAGAACACAGGACCAACCACGATAGGAGTAGTGGAGAGGTATGAAATTTGTTATAAACTTGGAATTAAGTAGCACTTAATACCCCCAATTAATTTTAGTTACGTACAATTTTCTGAATAAAGTATGTATTATGTGTAATGCTGAATATTTTATAAAGTTGTTTGAAATGTTTCAAGTAGTGGTATATGTTGATATAAATGTTTCTTTATTGTTACAGATTTTACATCCTATAAAATTATCATCAAATTCATCAAGAGAGTCTTCATCTCAAAGGAAATTATCACACAATTCCTGTCAGGTCAGTATCAAGTATTACTTCAAATGTTATTAGTAAAATTACATAAATATCACATTGAATAAATTTTTGAATAAAATAACAAATAAATTTTTATCTTTGATATAAAGTTTGATGTAAAAGTTAAATAAATAGATATTAAAATCAATAGTCAAGTCAAGTATGTTGTTGAAGAATTACAAATTCCTTAAAGTGATAAAGTATTGAAAAATGAAGATTTGATAGGTACACAGGATCAACAACGTGGCCAAATAATTTCATCTTTTCGAACAAGTTTTGGAATTCCTATAAATATTTTCCATCGATTCAATCGTTTCCGGAAATTTTAGAACAGTCTGTTTAGGATAAACGTGGTGATGAGCGAGGAGGTGCAATGGAACGTTCGGCCAGGTTCGGTGATTGGTCAGAGCACATGAGTTCTTCGGGGAAGAAGTATTATTACAACTGTAAAACAGAAGTTTCTCAGTGGGAAAAGCCACGGGAATGGATTAGTCGAACAGATAATCGACAACGTCAATCTAATGATTATTCTTCTAGGTCAAGTAGGTTTAACGATATTATATCACTAAATAAATGTTTTTAATTAAAAACAAATGGTTGTACTTTGCATGTTATCAATTCCTTTCGCTGCAGTATCAAATGTGTAATAGTCGTAAATCATTAAAGCTTGGTAAATAATTTGTTTGCTACTAATCTCTTGCAATTAACTGACTATCGCATGTCCATTATCTGCAGCGAAAGGGTTATTTTATTAATTAAGGAAGTTCAGTTAATTTATTGTGTATTTATGTTTATCATTTTATACTTGAAGCATAGAAAATGATATTTTTCTAATTGAAGAATGAGTCACCCCATACAGATAAATATTAAACAACTGAATTTCTGAATTTCTCATAACTTCAACTAATTAATATAACCAAAGTCAGAAAAGTGATTCAGTTTAGAAGATTTTGGTTTTTCATTTCTTTTGTCTCGCAGGTCATGATAAACATTCCAACTCGCGGTCAAATAGCAGTAGCAGTGTGCGAGATGGTAAATCATCGCGTCAATCCGATAAACGAGAATATTGGAGTTCATGCAGTGGAAGTGGTGGTGGTAGTACTAGGGAAGATGTATCAGTTAGGGAAAGGGAAAGAGAGAAAGAACGTGAAAGAGAACGTGAACGTGAAAGAGATCGCGAATCGTGTAGAGAGGATGCAGGAGGTGAGCGTCAAGCTCAGGATATGGATATATCACCAGGTGATTCTACACCAACTTCTGAACCTCTATCTTGCACTCACGACCCACTGCCCCAAGGTCCTGTTTTGTTGGCCACTGGTATGTTTTATTTATTGGATACAATACAATGATAAAAGGAAAAGAAAAGTACTGATAGATTAATAATTGATTATAGCATTACCTCGGTTAACATCACATCCACCGTCAACACCACAAACACCTGGTAAACTTAATTCACCGACGCAACAACAAGGAAATAGTAATGCTCCAGGGCCACCAGTTTCACTAGCAAATCTTCCAAGACTTTTATCACAAATCACAGGCAATAAAGAACAACCTGACATTACACCGCAAAAAGCACTACAAACACTTCAAACAGCCGCTATTTTATTGTCTAGACAAGTAAGTGTGTTCTATAATTTAAGGATAACATTTTTGTAGGTAATTAATCTAAATTTTTTTACAGAGATTTCAGCAACATTTTTTTTTCATATTATAATATTAAAATTTATAGTAAGCATTTATTCCTTATTTTTTCATTTTTTAAATTCAAATTGGAGTTGAATTAATAAACAGTTTATTAATTCTGTGAAACAGGTAGATGATAATAATAAAAATTATTTGATTATATTTTTCTTCCAGCAGTCGGCTAGTGGTGACCGAAATAATAGTGGAAATGATGTAATGGTCCCGCTAAAAGTTGATACAAGTGGCAACATTACAAGCGAGGGACCACCAACTCCGACGCATTCGGAAACCCAGGATTGCATTGATGCACGAAAATGTATATTGACGATGAACGATAAACTTGTACTATTGTTTGAATTGATAAAACTTAACATTTAATAACTATATGTTTATTTTTCTTTCACAGTAACAAGTCCTGGGGGTACGAATTCTGGAGTGCAAGGTTTAAGCTCATTGCAAAATCTTAGCACATTAGGTTCTCTTGGAAATTTAAGTAATACAGGTTTACAAGCATTATCTAGAGTACAGCCTCCTTTAACACCTTCTTTAACACCTTCACTTGCTAATCATTATCGGGAAGATCTAACGCAACACGTGCGTGCCTTTCCTGCTGATATCCTTGAAAAACAGGTATATACATGTAATACATACACACACATATAGTTATTTCATCATAGTTATGTCATATATGTATATAAGATAATATGATATATCTATGAATGGTATGATAAAAAATATTTCGGTAATTGTCACTTATAGGCACAGAAACTTAGTGAGGAAGCACACACAATGGGAAGTTTACAGTGTACAAGAGTGTCGGCAGAATTAAAGACGGCACGATCTATAGTGAGGCTGACAGAGATTCAGGCAACTTTACAGGAACAAAGGTATATGTACACTCATATTTTATATTCAAATCATACCTATAAGATAATAATGAAATTACTTTTAAATTGAATTGGTAAACTTAATATTCTAGGATATTATTTCTCCGTCAACAAATTCAAACATTGGAGGAGCTAAAATCCCAAAATTCCTTCATGTCTGATGATTCTTAGTGTAAGAAACTTTATAAAGTAATTATAATTACAATCTATAATTCATGCAAAAAATAAAACATAATTATTAATATTCTCATTAATATTGAATAATTAAGATTGTACCTAAATTATAATATCATGATAGAAACGGTAAAAAATAGTAATGAATATATGGGCTGCCCAGAGAGGATCGGTTGTTTCGTTTATCAACTAACGAGTCTTATAATTAATTGAAAAGCCCCCCTCTCTGGGAAGCACAAAAGGCCTATCCACATGCAAACACAACACTAAGTAAATAGAAAATCAATCTATTCTATCAGTTCATTGCAAACTATTAAATTGTCCACATCGTCTTGTATTACCTATGTTATACGTGTCAATGTTTCATATCCCAAGAGTAAGCGGCATTTTAACTAGTTGAAACATTTTTGTTGTAAATCTCGGAATAAAATTCGTGCCAGAAGTTTTAATTCAGTTCTTTATCGCCACTGTCTTACCTAATTCCCAGACTATTTAAAAGAAAAATGATTTTCTTCTGTTGTAAAATTATAATAATTTTCTTCACATGTTTAATAAACTTTTCTTTAAGTATGATATATAAAGAAGAAAAGTAAAAATGTTTAGAAAATTATAATTTGTATAAAAGGTATTTGTAAATAGTTTTAGAGATTTACAATAACTTAATCTGTATTATTCTTAGTACTTTTGGAAAGTACTTTGATGGTATATTGCTAAAAGAAATTGTATAGAATGTGCCAAAATCGGTTAAATAAGTGAAACACTTAATATATTTTAATCGTAAATAATTTTTATTTTCTGCATAGCTCCTCATACAGTTATACAACATAAGAAAAAATGAATTACGTTATATCATTGTATTAGCTCTTGTAAGCAAAAACTGAAATGTAGTAGACGATGTGATCCTTAGAAATTTTAATTAATATATATATATATATATATATATATTTATATACATAGAATTAGAATTTTTAAACAATAATCACTGAGCTATTTTGTGTGGAATAGAACTTCAATTTTCCATCACTTATATTCTGCCCACTCTATTTTCGTTCAAAACATTATGAAAAAAATTAGTTACTTTACTGTGCTTAAAATAAAGTATTTTCACTGAAGAAAACATAAAACGAGTATATATATATATATATATATATATATTGTTCAGGATGATAAAACCACGAATACTACAGTAAGTTATAATATGGATTTCTTACTTTGTATATTTCTTTAAGGAACTGTTAAGGAGTGAGCTTAATACTTACAGAAATAAAAAGCAACATGAAATCTAATCACGAAACAGATACATTTCATCAAAGAATTTGAGACTGCGACTGAATTCTAAACGTTTCTTTTCAAATTACTTTTTTTTTTTTAATGCAAATCAAGAAGCTTTTTACAAAGTACCTGTGCACATATTTTCTTCTCATACCTTTTTTTTAAAATCATTTACTAAAAAAGAATTAAGCTGTAAGTGTGATTAGTTGGTATGATATATAATTAAACTTCTTGATTCGCATTAATATCTAAATGCCCTTCTAAAATCGTTATTTTTACTAGCTACAAAATAAAAATTGTAAACCCAAATTAAACATTGTTTTTTTTTTCGATTGATATTTTTCATGTATCTTAATATTGTATAATATAATTATTATGAGTACAGCGGAGGATAGTATTTAAGAATAATATTGGTAATAATGTTAACGTGAATGTATCCTGTTCACGGTGTTTCTCAACGCGAGTTCTCAATAGCCTTCGTCATAATCACAAATGTTATGCATTAAAGCAACATGTCACATTTAATACAATAAATTATACGATATGAGGCTATCGAGGTTTTATTAATTATAATTACATATTTATACACTTGTTTTGCAAATAGATGTTATTTCTGTTATATGTAATATACACGGGTATTTTTATTATAATCTCTTTTTTATTACTATGTATGTATGTATGTTTCAATAAACTATGTGTTACTATGCTTAGTGTAAAATAAAACAGTCATAATTGAAATTTTTTTCCTGAGTTCATTTGAAAAAAAAAGAGTGAATTGTTTGCATTTTTCATACTTCATTTGTGCGATTAATGATTACCGAATTAGAAGTGATTTTATCGATTGAGAAACACCGATAATTCTTTACAATATTATCTAACATTATACCATGTCATGAGAATGTTATAACATCCCCATAGCACCTGAAGCATACAGTGAACATTCTCCCATGTACATTGTATTTAATTACAGTCAGTCATTGGACTTATTTTATAACAAACTCTCTCTCTCTTTTTTGAACGTTAGATCATTGATTAATATATCCTCAATATAATCATTACAGATATTCGTGTAAATTCAGTACAATGCATAATTTTCATGGACTAAGATTATAATAAGGCCTCTGAACATCTGACTCATTTTATTTTACATTTCATAACTTGTAGAAGTATTGTACATTAAAATTAAAAAATTTTCTGGATTATATTATTAGTATGAAGTTAGGATATTCAGAATTTTCCTTTGTTTCTTCTAGTCAAATAAAAAAAATATAGCAATTAAAGAACCATTAATAATTGTCATTTTTATCAATAAATTATTTTTCCTGTGTTGATTGCTATTTTCTCATTTTTAGAACAATTTAATTGAAGTACATGTATGGTTAAGTTGTAATAAAAATGAATATTTAAATGGGTATTTAACGCTTGTTACAACAAATGTCACTTATAAAAGAGCAAATATTTTACAAGTTATGAAATGTTACAGGTCTATTGTTGAACGATTTCAATGTAGTGCTCTTCAAGTGTTTATGCAAACATATTGCAATGGAGAGTACAAACTGCTACAAAACAATTCCAATATGATTTGTTTTACAATCGTTAATACATCTATATCATACGCTCGTTATGTGATTTTAAGGCCATATACGAGATTTAATACAAAGGTACTGCCCCTTTAGGTCAGTATTTGATATATTTATTAATTTGGAAATTTGTCTAGGGGATAGACAAATGGACGACACAGCCTCGACAGAGAATGTTCACAGTGCAAGACAGCAGCATAGACATATCTCAGCGCAGCCTCACTTTATCATTGGTTAGTGCTTCTGCTGGTAATTATTATACAAATCTATCATTTCTTAAATTACACAATACAACTATATACGGAAGAACCCTTCGTAGACAAGAGCTCTCTTTTTGTTTCCTTTACACAACAAATATATTAAAAGGTACTGTAAGTATGAACTCATTAATTTCTGTCATCGAACTGCTTCTCATGTTTTTATTGATAGATATAATTTTAATGATATAAAAACAAAAATCAATTAACTATGTTGATACATTTCTTTACATACCTAGCAATATTATTGTAGCATAGCAGATAAGTAACAGCTACGAAGGGTATTTGTAAAACATGTAATTTGTAAATTATCCACAATGAAATCAAGGTATTATCTTTCGTTATCCTTGTTTTCTTAATATGTACGCAGCAAAACTCAAAATGTCTTAAAAACTACAAATGTAAATATTATACAACATACAAAGTAACAATATGTAACAGTTGTTTTGTACCTATGTATCTATTATGGCAGAAGGTGGGTCTTGTGCCGAGTTATTCTTGGCTACTGTCAATTTTAAGCCAACATTATAGATATAACTATCCTAGTCTTAAATAGGACGTGCACGATTTCATATTAATTCATTAATCATTAACACGTCAACTAACTACTTTCTGCAATTAGGGACTTCTAAAAAGAATATTCTGTTCTACAGGTCCTTAGTGTCTCGAAAACAGTTTTACTATACCTACAAATATTGAAACTAATATCACTCTAGCTAAAATTGCACACATTGTAAAAAATTTATAATTCCGTCAATAATAAAATATAAAAATATTAAGAAAAAAATAATAATTGTAATTCTCGAAAAGAAAAGAATTTGATATACAAATTATTTGTTTGAAAAGTTCATACTTGGAGTTTCTTCTTTTTTTAATAATAGAGAGTGATACGTTTTTATAATTTATATTGCAGAAGTAATAACAATGTACACAGCTGATAACAGATATTGCATATAAAAGTACGTTTGATTTAGTAACAAATGAAAAGAAAAAGGTAACTCTTTAGAAGTCCCGTAATAATTTATATTCACTCAAGGTATTCCTTGATTCGTTTTTCATTCATACTAAAGTAAAACACGCAATATTACTATAATTTAATTCTATTAAAATGGCATTCAGTATTATAGGATTAGTTTCATTCAATATATAAAAAAAATATACAATTTCGACTACTCGATGCAATTGTTCAGTAATCGTGAGTTTGTACTATCCGAATGCCATTTTTTTTTTTTTTATGATACATTTTCTTTGGACTAGTACTACAAAGATTGTAGAACGGTCCATAAAATGCTAATTAAAATATAATTAATGTCTATACGCAGTGGGATTTCACTGATATTCAGTCAATTCACAATACTCGTGGCGAAGTTTATAGAAAAAATGAATAAAACAATTTTATCAATTATATCGTCATTCACTTCTCATTAAGCTCCATCAAATTTCTGTACCTCGCTCTGTAAAATCGTGTATTCTAAACTTATTAAAAATAACTAGCCAGGTAACAATAACAGAATTTATATACGGTCCACAATGTAATATTATTTCAATTTCCTGTGTCATCTTGTTCTTTACAAAAAAATAATAACTTTTAATCCTTGTATCTTGATAGTACATCTTTTCTTCAATTACAAAAACATTGTCACGAGTTGTGAATGACTTATACTTACCTGAGGGATATATTCCCACTTGTCATCCTCAATAATTTGCACTTCTATAGTGCTTCATTAAGTGCTTCTTTTTCATCGAGGTACTCTCATTTCATGAAATTAACTTGTCATATCAGTAAACGTATATAATGTCTTGTTTGGGCATAAGGTATTAGTAATGCAAATGGCATTATGATCTGTCTTATTTGCAAAAGTGGCTTCATGCCAATATTAATGTGTCATTCGTTATTATTATATAATTTAAATAATTTATAATTTACAGATCCTGTAGAACACAAGTGGTTGTACGCAAGCATACCCCATTGGCAAATTAGTATATTACATAAAATGCTTGGTATACCACCACGTTAATGTGATCGATCGGTATATGATATTTTCACTGTTTATCATACTGTAACTTTTAGCATAAAAGATATATTCACATACACGGCTTCATAAAACAAAAATAAAAGTACATCCGGGTACATGTGCAACTAGGATGATACGTTACTTTTTCCTCTACCGTATTCTTCTAAAAGCCTTCTTGATTTTCCGTTGCGTCAAAGTAGGTGTACCACTGAAACAGAATATAGCAGTTTATAAGAAATATTTATAATCAATACGACAGCCTATTTTTTTTTACTCTATTTTTAATCTTGAAGCTACAACATATTCTAAATAAAAAAATCTGTTTATTAGTTATTGAAATGCATTACCAACATTATGATTTTTATGTAGTTTAATAATAATGATAATTTCTATCGTAAAATATTAAATAGTTACCTGAATGTTGCAGGCGCATTTCCGCCAGTAAAGTTATATGATGGTGGGGTATTGGGATCAAACGTTGGTGTGTTATTAGGAGGATTAAAATTAAATCCTGTAGATGGTGCAGAAGCAGGTGCCTGTAAAACAAAGTTACACATTTAATGTAAAATTTGCTAATATATAATAAAAGAAAAAATTTACACAAGTATTATAGTTACCATTCCACCGAAGTTGAAACCTCCTGAAGAAGCAGGGGCTGTTGTAGATCCAAAATTGAATCCAGTGTTTGCAGCGGTAGATGCAAATGATGACGATGGTTGATTTTGAACACCAGCCTGTGGTGTGCCAAAAATTGGAGTTGCAGTGGTTGGTTGGCCAAATGCTGGCGTTTCCGGTTTAGGTGCATTGAATGTAAATCCCGAACTACTTGTTGATGCAGCATTATTGAATGTATTTCCAAATAAATTACCGCCACTTTGTGGGACAGTTGCAGTACTACCAAATGTAAATAACGGTTTCTGAGTCGATTCAGCAGGATTAGTATTTGTAGAGAAATTGAATCCAGTTCCTTGTTGGGCTGCTGGTTGATTAGCAGTACCACCAAATGTAAATAAATTTGAAGTTGACGAATTACTTTGACCCGGCTTCGAGGAAGATCCAAATATATTGGGTGTAGATTCGGTAGTAAACGTTGAAGGTGTTTGGTTACTGAAAACAGGAGTAACAGATGATCCAAAAAGATTTGGTGTTCCTGATTGCACACCAAAAGGGGTTCCAGTTGACGCTTGAGGTGTTGGATTAAACGGAGAAGCCGTTTTATCTGTACTTCCAAACACAGGCATTTTTGAATCGGTTGATCCAAAAATTGAAGGTTTATTTTCAGTACTACCAAACGTTGGTACTTTATTTTCTGGTACAGCAAAGGTAGATAGTTTATTTGTACCCATACCAAATGCAGATTGCTTATTTTCTTCTGTACCAAACGTTGATACGTTCTTTGTACTGTTAGTGCTAAACAATGATGGAGCACTGGAAATACTTGAGAACAATGAATTTCCAGAAGTAACAGGTGTCAATGCATTAAAAGTTTTGGCTACCGACGAACTCTCTGTTGTTTTATTTTCTCCAAATGTAAATGTACTAGGTAAAGTAGAAGCTGGTGTTGATATTTGACCAAAGGTTGGTGCCGATGTTGTTTGCACAGTTGGTTTTGTTTCGAGAAACGTAAAAGATGATTGAGTAGAAGATGGAAGACTTGATACTACATTTGTAGAGGAACTGCTATTAACTGTAACAGTGCTACTTGGTACTCCAAATGAAAAGGAATTGGTTGGTTTAACTTCTTTTGCACTAGTTTGACTTATCGAAGGTAATGCGGTGGTGCTAATAACAACAGGGGATTGTGTAGTTTCTATGTTTGATTTCGAAACCTCTGTTACGACGGTATTTTCACCTAAAGCACTCTGTTTCTCTTCTTTTGAATCTGATTCTTTTTTAATTTTAGGTTTAGCTACACCAAATGTAAACGTCGATGGAAGTGTTGTAGAAGTTGTAACATTCAATGATTGTTTATCACTCGCTGTTGATCCACTTTCACTTTTTCCAACATCAAACGAAAACGATGGTGCTGGCCTTTTTTCAGATTGTTCTGAATTCTGTTTTGCATCAGTCTTGTCATTATTACTTGTATTAATTTGAAATCCAAATCCGCTTCCCGAAGTCGACGAGGCACTGTTTTCAATTTTCAATGTTTCATTAGTAACTTTCTTCTCTTCCTTTTGAATGCCAAATGTAAATTGACCAACTTGATTATTCTGTTGGTTACCACCAAATTTAAAACCATTAGTAGGCGCAACATGGTCAGTCTTTTCTTGATCAGCTTTATCTATACCAAATTTAAAACCACCAGCATTTGAAGGCATACTAAAATTAAACAGTAAACTGCAAGTAGTATTCGGTTGTGAATTATCAAATTTCTTTATACCCGGTTTCGATCCACCACAAGCTACGCATTCTGTAACTTTTGCCTCGTTCTGTAACATACAAGTATCACAGTTCCATGCACCTTCAGGCTTTTTAAATTTATCTCCAAATCCGTTTACAAGTAATAGTGGAACAGTTTTGGCTGGAATTCCAGTGCAAGGCTTACTTGTATTGCAACACGGACAAGAATCAACAGACGTAGCATTTCTAACCATGCAACAAGGACATTCCCAGGTATCTTTGTTTGGCTTAAAGCTGCTCGTAGTATCATTTTTGGTCAGACTTGAATTACCAAACAATTCCGTACCAGCATTTTTGTTTGCAACTGTACCCGTATTATTAGTAATATTTGCATCTTTTTGTACATTGCAAGAGGAACATTTAATTAAATTTTCAGAATTTTTAAATTTACATTTGGAACATTCCCAAGATTTTTCCAAGGACTTTACATCATTATGGTCAGATTTTACTAATTTTGTTGCATTAGCTTCCTGTTTTGTTCCTGGTTTAGTTGTACCACATGCAACGCATTTAGTATCAATTTCTTTGTTTCGTACAAAACACGACGTACATTCCCACTGATTATTTGAAAGTTTAAACTCAGCTCCAAAATGATCGTTCGTTGTAGTTTTTGTCTCACTGATACTTGATGTTGTTGATTCAACGGTTTTCTTCTTTTTAACATTCAATTTATTAGCCTTACAAGCAAAACAGTGTACTTCTGTACTGTTATTTTTAAATAAACACTCGGAACATTCCCACAAAGTTGAAGTTTCTTGTTGTGCATCAGAGTTTGAATTTGTAATTTTTGCATCATCTTTACTTGCAACATTTGTTTCATTAGCGATTGAATTTTTCTTTGAATCTAACGATGTCTTTGTTTCATTTGATTTCTCAGATTCAGATTTATTAGGCTTAGAACCGAAGATACCCATAACGCTTCCAGATTTTAATTCATTCGAAACAATAGGAACAGCGCCGCCGCTATTTTTCACTTTCTCTTTTGGTCTAGGAGCTGTAGACGAACCGGACCATATAAAATTCTGTGTTACACTAGATGCCAACTCACCAAGAACTGTACTAGATTTAACATCACCTTTTATCATAGTCGAATCGTTGGATTTATCAACTGATTGTTTATCAGCACTGATAGGGCTGCTAAATGTAAAGTTATTGATAGATTTCAAATTTTTTGTGACGTTTGTTATTTTTATAGGACTTGCAAATGTGAAAGTTTCTTCTTTACTTGTAATCGTTTTATGAATTATCTTTGTATTAGTAGGCGGTATAAAGTTGAAACTTGGTAAAGAAGATATTGGCAAAGGTATGTTTGGTAAATTGACTGGCTGAACTGTTTCTTCCTGATCAAGATTTGATGCTTTACCCTTCAGTTTACCATGATGCTTCGATTCATTATCAGCTGTAGTTCTGAGATGATATTCTTGCATGGGCGGTGGTTCGCTTCGAGCGGAAATAATTTTTCTAGCTGCAGCTGTAGTATCTTGTAATTTTTTACGCTGCCTTAATTTTAATATATCTGGCACAGTTGGTACAGTTAATTCACGGGTTAGATGACGTAATCCAACTCTAGTTGATGATGGTGTACTAGTCTCTTCTCTTGTCCTCTTTTTATTTATTAACGAGGTATTATTCATTTTCAATGGAATCTTTTTAGCGTCAGTTATCGGCGACGAAAAGTGTTCTAGTGTTTCCAATATTTTTTTAGCAGTTTGACTCATACCAGACGAATCAACCCCTGTTGCGTTAGATGGTTTCACTTCAACGCTTGTTCTTTTAGGAACTTTAAGTTGAATTTCACTTGAATTATTAAACAAAGAGCGGCCTCGTTTATAAAGACCGGCTGCATTTGCCCCACCGAAAGTGGTATTTCCACTGTAAAAAGGAGACGACAGGGGAGACGAATGGTCCGACGAATTTGTCACGATTGATGCATTAAAACTTGGTCTACGACTACTTAAAGAATCTCGAGAACTGTTATCTAAAAATAATGACCTTGGAGACTGCATACGATTAGTGAAACTTAATTTCTCATCGTGAAATCTTTTTCTAGTGTTAAACGGGGAGTTGTAAGAGACATTTGATGGAGCCTCTTGTCTATTTGTTTGTGGAATAAGAGAGCTACAACCGCTGGTACTCTCACTGGATTCAGAATTGTCATCCATACCGCTTGTAATCCCATTATTTGTAGTAGTAACTAGCGAATTCAACTGAGACCTCTGCGGAGCTATACTTCTAATATCCGTATGTGTTGCAGGTGTAGAAGATACCAGATGACTCATCCCGCTTGGTCCAGCCATTGCAGGTTTACAGAAGTCTTCGGACTGTATCGAATAATTAATTGAATAAAATGTTTTCAAGCTGACATTGTTTTTATAAATTATTTTTACCATTTCATCGTTTATCGAACATTTAGATGGGCTGGCTTTATTAACCGTAGACTTAGTCCTTGGTTGAATGGAAAAGGTACCAGGTGGATGAGTAACATCCATGCGAATACACGGTCGCTTCAAAGGTGGAGGCTTCTGGATATCTTCTTCTGACTCAACCTCTTCAGGGTTCTCAGAATTATTTAATACATCTCCATCGCTTTGAGACGAGTTAAACCATTTACTGATCCATGATTTTTGCGGTATAAGATCAGTTACCTTTGTTGCCACCTTTTTTACAAAAGACTGAAATACAAAACAAGCAACTACAAAGATACTGAATAATTTTGTGTAATACTTATTTTTATTATAGTACTAGTTATATTATACCAAATACAATAAAAACCTTTATAATGAAGAAGTGAACACAGAATTAAATTAGATACATACAGTGCTATTATTCAACGGTAATTAAATTTTTTATACATATTCAATATACTAACTAGAACTTAATATTTAAATATAGCAACAATGCTAGTTTATAAAAAAACACGTTCTTAGAGTTAAGGTTAATACGTTCAACCGAGAAACGAAGAAATAGATAAGCTATACTTTAATTCAGTTTATGTCAGAGTAAACTGAATGATTATTATTGTTTTTCCAAAGAAATGATCTTTAAACAAGATTACGAGGTGTTACGCGAAGATACGCAAAACATGATTTTTGAAAGTCACGAGTATATTTTTTTCCGATATGGATTAGACGCGTAAAGCGATAATATATAAATTCATTGAAAATCAGAAAGATGCACGTGTAGGAGAATTGAGTTACATGATAGGGTCTCAAAAATTTTCCTCATACGGAATCTCGTTTCAAGGTTATATGTTATAGGTGCACCGATAGGTATCTTATAAGTGAAACAGTATGGGAAAGATTGAGGTTATCGAATGGATTCACATAACCGTAACATCGTGTGAGTCCAATGCAAGTGCATCTTAGGGAAAAGGTAATCGTACAAGGAGTAGTTTGATGAAGGATCGGTACACATTGTAAGTTTATTGAAGGATCTAATTTAAGCGGTAAGGCGCGAAGAACCGTTCAACTTAAAGTAGGTTCGTATCTGTCGCGGGGACTCGTGCCAAGAAGAGACTACTCACATTGTTTGCGTCGTAGGGTTTCGTATTATGCGACGATGATCGTCTTCCAGTCAAATTATTACTCCTCTTAGCCATGATTGGCACTGTTCACTTATTTAAGAGTATAAAACACGCGAGAACGTCTTCAAACGGCGCATCCCAAAAATTATTAACGAACCACCACCTTCGTGACTGAAATTCACGAGAGAAAATATGGCCGCCCCAAAGACCGCCACCAGGGCGCCAGGTTTCTCTCGAATGTGCGCTCGTCGCGCCTACCCACGTGACACCGTATGCGCTTTCTGGCTTCAAATTAGTTATCTCTTTTATGGTCGCTTTTAAAAAAAGAATGTGCATTTCTCTTTCCACAGATGGTGTGAAAATCGCTTCGCCTGTTGATATATTATCGACGAATATAAAAAATTTGGCAAAATTTCGAAAAACCGCCATGCTCCGATTTAGGCTAAATTTTGCAAATAAGCTCCATTTCGCAAAAGAAAATATCTGTGAAAATGATTTTAGCGCCTCGATAAAAATTTGTTTTACATTTTGTTGTCATTCCCTACCTTGCCGACACCACCCAATTAATTGGCGAACTGTTTCAAACTCTTACAATGATAGTACCACAGTATCGATCGAGCATCAAATTTTTGTTAAAAATTCAAAATAAAGATTATTTGCGTTAACTTTAAGACGTTCGTTGAATGATGACGACTTGATTAGCGCCAGTGTTGGTTGCCGTCGGGGCTTAGTCTTACGCAAGATTTCCCGGTGGGGGGTCTTACGCAAGATTTCCCGACGTAAAAAAAACAAAAAATCCTTTACATCTCTGCTTTCCTTACATCCCTGCATGCCTTACAGCCCTGCATTACTTACAGCCCTGCATCCCTTACATCCCTGCATACCTTACATTCTTTTCATCCCTACACTCTTTTCATTCCAACACTCTTTTCATATCTACATTCTTTTCGTCCCTACATTGTTTTCATCGCTTCATCCCTTACATGCCTACATTCTTTTCATCCCTACATTCTTTTCATCCCTACATTCTTTCCATCCCTACATTCTTTCCATCCCTACACTCTTTTCATCCCTACATTTTTTCCATCCTTACACTCTTTTCATTCCTACATTCTTTTCGTCCCTACATTGTTTTCATCGCTTCATCCCTTACATCCCTACATCCTTTTCATCCCTACATTCTTTCCATCTCTACATTCTTTTCATCCCTACATTCTTTCCATCTCTACATTCTTTTCATCCCTACACTCTTTTCATTCCTACATTCCTTTCATCCTTACATTCCTTATAATAAATATATAATAAAGACTGCTTCGAGTAAAGGTAAGTGAAGTCAGTTCCTTTTTTCCCCGCCAGAGGGCGCTAATTCGGCGTCGAATCAGCGCCATCTGGTTTTTGAAAAAGGAACTAAAGCTCGCTCAATTGCTGGCCCCCTGGCGGCAAAAACGCGAACTAAAATTTCGACCTCGAATCAGCGCCATCTGGTTTTCGAAAAAGGAACTAAAGCTGGCTCGATTTCTGGCCCTCTGGCGGCAAAAATTTCAACTAAAATTTCGACCTCGAACCAGCGCCATCTGGTTTTTGAAAAAGGAACTAAACCAAGCAAAGATTTTGGCCCTCTATCGGCAAAAATGCGAACTAAAATCTCGACCCCCAATCAGCGCCATCTGGTTTTTGAAAAAGGAACTAAACCAGGCAGAGATTTTGGCCCTCTAGCGGCAAAAATGTGAACTAAAATCTCAACCTCGAATCAGCGCCATCTGGTTTTTGAAAAAGGAACTAAACCAGGCAGAGATTTTGGCCCTCTAGCGGCAAATATGTGAACTAAAATCTCGATCTCGAATCAGCGCCCTCTGGCGGCAAGAAAGGGAACTAAGTTTTGCAAAAATTTAAATTTTAAATTATGTTTCACGAGACTACTTACTTTTACTTACCTTTACTTACCTTTACTTACCTTTACTTACCTTTGCTCGAATCACTGGCCATAAGTATATTATTTATAATATATTTATTATAAGGGTTGAAAGGATACAAGAGATGCAGGAAGAATTCAGGAGTGTAAGGGATACAGAGATATAAAGGGTAGAGAGATGTAAGGGATGCAAAAATGTGAGGGATGCCGAGGTATAAGGAATGCCGGCATATACGAGATGCAGGAATATAGGGAATATAGTGATACAAGGGATACAGGGATGTTAAGGATGCAGACATGTAAGGGATGCAGTGATAAAGGGTTGGGCCTCGTGAGGCCCTTAAAGACAGAAAAATAATAAATAACTGGGAAGGTTGAGTCGAGGCCCATGAAGAGGGATAAAATAATAAATGACTTGGGAGGGTGGTCCACGCGAGGCCCGAAAATAGGGGTAAAATAATAAAGAATAGGATAAAATAATAGGCGAGACACACAGATGTAATAGAACCAACATGTTCATGCTCCTAATGAGTTTATTCAATAAGCTAAGAAGACAAATACAGCAAATCCTTCCTATTAATGACGCGGAAACATGTCTGTGAGTGACGCTGAGACGTTGTACGCATGCTCGAAAATAAGGCAGAAAAATGTTATATGTGTATGTATTCTTACAGTGACAGTACAGTAAAACCTGTTAAAAAGGATATCTGAAAACAAGTAAAACCCTTATTAAGGGACACTTTTTAAGGGATACATAAAAACTAATGACGTCATCATTTAGAATGGTCTGACGGGGTTGCCTTATTTAACTTTTGTTTATAAAAATTTACTGCGCATGTCTATCTCTTATGGTTTAGGACTGCGCAGGGGTCAAAGTTTCCATAAGATAATAGCAGATCCTGCGCAACAAATTTTCTAACAAATCAAATTGATGCATTTTTAATCTGTATGCAGTCACTGGTGCTTTGGGGTCCCTAACACCCCAAGGCATCGGCCATTACGCCATCGATATAAAAGCGGCGCAAACTATTTGTTAACTTATCGACTGCCGAAGAATTGATTACCGACTGTCGGAAGTTCAGTCGATAAGTCGGTAATTTATTGAGTAGTTTCCGCCGGTTTTGTATAGATGGTGCGGTAATCGAACTTTGTGGGGTGTCTGGGACCCCTTAAATTATGACCCCTCGAAGACAAAGACATGTCCAGTTTTGTTGGATCTGTAGATCGACGTGTATGTAGTCAGTAGGATTTATAATATATATAATATTTGACTATTTCGTCTTGAAAGTATAAAAAATTCAGTTCATTTTTAGTTTTAAAAATGGGGGATGTTCTTAGGCGAGAGGTAATTAATATATTAATAATTTCAGACGTTATAAGTTATCAATATTTAGTAATTCAGATTTAGTTGTTAATTTATATTATTATACACGGCATTGCATACGTTATTACACTTAATACACATCAATAAACAAAATTATTTTCAAAAGAAATACTGCTTTTATGCCATTTTGTAACTACAGTGCTTTTATTATAAAAGAATGTATGCAATAGTTGTATTATAGTGTTCTAATAATGCATACACTATGCAATGTTTTGAAAAAAATGTTAATGTATATTACTTTTTATGACCATAGAATATTTATTTTAATAAAACAATTATGGTTTTTAGGTATTACATGTATTTAAGAAACTACATCGTACCCGAATGAATACTTTTAAGGGTGATGAACATGCATTAAAAGGTAAAGTGAAAATAATTGTTGAACATGTAAAGTATTGATATTTTAACAAATGTCATTTAGTTATAAGGGACAAAATAAATGAGGAGTATAAAAAATATAAACATGTTACAAACAGCGCTGCTATCGAAGAGGTAAATATTTTGTACATATTCAAATTGCACCACATATTACATAATATATTCATTTATACATTATCTTCTATACATATTTTTCTTGAACATATCTAAAAGTATTGTGTAATACTTTATACCACAGTATTAGAACATGGAAAAAATAAGCAAAATTCTTAAGTAAGGATATTATTAGTAATTGAACATTAATTTGAATTAAAATAAAATCAGTGTTTCAATGAGGTGTTGTACTATTAACACAGTGCCAAAGCGCCTGACGAACACGCCAAGCGATTCGACGGCATTCAATAGTAAGTGTCACTTGATAAATTGAAATTTCACTAAATCTTTTCTAGAAAAATTGTGTTTTCTGCTTGTTTTTTCACAAACATCACTCCTTTCTTGATTAGTACCACCACTTCCATTAAACTCTGTATATTTATTATTTCAGTTAAACAAATTTGCAGAAGAAGTAGAACATGAAGTGAGAACAACTGTAATACAAGCAGTTGAAACAGAGCCTGGAAGGTTTGGTAAGATTCTTATAATCACTATTAATTATAAGATATACAGTTTGATTTTTAATTTTACTATGTGATATTTAGAACTTCGCATTACAAGTGATACAGCTCTAGTGGATAATGTACCCTATATGGATTCAGAGGGACCTGATCAGATGAAAAGCGATAAACAAGACAATAGTCTATGTTCAAATACTTCTTCAAAAAATAAGGTAAAATAACGATAGTGATAAAATATAAATTAAAAATAAATTTTAACTTTGTAAAAACTTAGAATATTGTTGAAAATCACCAAAAAATATGTATTAATTTATGAAAAAATATATTTATGTAGTTTATTCAAACTATTTTGTACATGTTCTTAATAATAATTATTTTTAAATAACTTTGGTTCTAAATCTTTTATGAGCACTGAATGGGGTTAAACATTTTATTCAGTATTACATAATATATAATATTAATCTTACAATGTATTACAATTTATTGGCAACACCTGTAATTAAAAGCAGTCATAAATAATTATAAATCTAAATAACATACAATATTTACAATATTACATTTCATTGCTAATTCGTTTTTCATATTTCTTGAATAATTTCTAGACAGATGTCTAAAGTTGTTATCTACATAAAAATGATGTTCATTCGAAATCATTTATTGCATTTAATTATGACTCTTCAGCTCCTTCCACTTTCATCCTAAAAAAGTGAATAACTTTTTAAGAACATTTAAAAATTAGGTTGGTTAAACAAATCTTAATTATGACTTACTTTAATAGAACGTTATTTTAATGATGATGGATGCATTAGTAAATTATGCCCAATTATGTCTCATCCCGATATAAATGGGTGTTTAAATTTATCACAACAGTTTTGTTACTTTTTTTTAAATTAAACAGGATCACAACAGTTAATACATGTATAGCGTTTGTGGTGCAAATCTAGTAATATATTTAGTTTATGAAATTATTATTTGGGGAAATAGAGTTATAATCAAATATAAAATTAGTTTTATACTAACATGTGTTCAGGATGATTACGAATTTGATCAATTAAATCTGCTGGTCTTAATTGATCAGTACAGATGCGATGTACCGCTGTAAATAATGGAAATTTTTCTAATAAATTGTTAGCTTTTAACATTCCATTAACTTCATCAGCTGTAGCTGGTCCTTGTAATTTCTGACCACCTAGAAGTTCTTCCTCAAGTTGTCTGATGGTCTGTTAAAAATAGATACAAATATATTTTACTATGTCGCTAATTTTGAGAAAATGAAAATTAATGCATTAATGAATATGATTTATACTTTGCCACTTTTAACATATTGTTCACAAACTCTGCGGTTCCTTCCGCCGTAACAAGTGGTTATTAAATCAGCTATACCACAACTTTCAAAGAACGTTGAAAGTTTGGAACCTTTATAAAATGTATCTATAAACCTAACCATTTCCATTAGGCCTAATCTGATAACAGCTGCTTTTGTATTATCACCTAATCCCATACCATCTACAAAGCCAGCAGCACATGCTACAATATTCTGAAACATACATTACAGGTATTAAATACAAAATAATACAAAATTCATTTTATGTAATAATATCTAAGTATATGTACCTTTAAAGCTCCGCATACTTCAACTGCTTCACAGTCATCAACAACCACAACTCTAAAATTGGGAGTTTGAATAAGGTCTCTCAGTAATGGTGCCAGTCGTTTATCTCTGCAGCCTATAACAGCAAGAAACAATTATAATGAATTATGGATATATTAAAATTTGCTAGTATGTACATCTAACGATTTTTTGCTGAGTTTAGTTAGTATCTACACTGCAGGTAATAACATATGAATTAATACATTTATTAAAGTATGTTCTACAAATGATTAACAGTTACCAATAGTGGTTTCACAGAATTTCTCTTCTGCAACTTCATTAGCCAAGTTGGCGCCCATCAAGACATAACATTGAATTCTTAAATTTTGTTCAATGATTTTAGAAATCAGCTGAATGTTTGATCCATCACCTCGATCAAAACCCTTCGTGAAAAATCAGGAATATTTGGATCAAAATGATGATCATCAAATAAATCTAGTCTAATAATTAATACCTTAATTAGGGATAGACCAACAGCAGTTGGTTTAATTTTATCTAATAATGTTGCGCATAGAGTTCGTATAAATTGATGAGGTATTACAAAAATAAGGATATCTGCATCTTTTGCAGCTTCGACAACGTCCGGAATGGCAACCTGAAAGGTACACGTGGAGTAAATTATAGAGTTCATTTATTACATAAGAATTACATCATTTATTTTTATAACATTCTTTTTGATTTTCTAAGTCACATATACTCGTGTAATTTCCTTGTACATCTGTCAAACAAATGAATCATCATTGTTGAAAATATATGCAACATTGTTGCACATATTTGCATATTTGAATATGTATGAGTGATTGCATAAGCATCAACAATCTAGAATTAATAGATTTTGTAAATACAACTTTAAAAGCTGCTTTCTTCCTTTAAATATGGAAAATTATCAATAAAAAAGATACTTGTCAAATATTTGTTATCCTCAAAATTATACATATATCACTGATTCAACCCCTATCAAGTAAAAACTGGACTAAAAGTAATCAATTTGTAATTTTACCTATAATTGTGCAACTTGTAATTTAAACACGTAGATTATTTTTTGAATGAAAGAAATCAAGAGCTTATCAGCTTTACAGCTCAATGATTTTATCACCGGACGTCAACACTTGAAATTTAAAGATCTAATTTCCGCTGTGTTTTATCTATAATGTAGATGTACGAGGTGTTTGTACTAATTTGTAAATTTAATTAGGAAGCGAATGAGCAGACCAGGATTGATGGGATGAAACTCGATTCTGACCCACTTGTCCTATTGATGCCTGGATATTTCAAAAGTCCCTTATTAAAGGATCTGGCAAAGAAATGGATGGCAGAAGAGTTTGACAGACTCTGAAATAGGATATATCCTAGGAAGCTTTTCTAGAGGAATTGTCACAACAACTATTTATGTTTACTCATTGGATCAGTAACAGGACACTGGTATAGAAAAAAGCATCTGATACTTATAGGATTAAGGGGAGAGTCTATATCCTGAATGCGAGGAAGAAACATTCCTTCATCTGATTATGTAATGCTATTATAATAGGAGAGCTTTTATAGTACTTCTATGGTACTTAACATATTAAGCCTGGATGATATCTAAAAATATTGGCTAATCATAAGATTGATCAGGCATGAAAGTGAATGAAAGACAATTTAGAAGATATGGAGCTGCCTGAGCACCATAATATGCTCAATTGATACCATTTCTTGTTGTACAACAATATTTACCTAGAAAATTGAAAAGGCTACTTGAAAATTGCTTTTCCAAAAGTGATCATAAATACATAAAGAAGTATATTTTGCAAATTAAAATTGCATATTTCATTCTGATATCAATAGATAACATATTAGCACCGTTTCCATACACTAAAGTTAGATTGGAGTAGTGGGAGAAGTACCCTACACCTACCGACTGTAATGATACTACGCAATTTGTATAGCACATGACATATGCCGTATGCGTACTGGTATATAACATCCGTCAGAACACCGCTGCGTTACAACAGATCTTCACGTGTTATATTTCAGAGTACTTTAATTAGGAACCGACCATGAGACTTAACTCCATCCTCCCCAACTTTGAAGCAGAAACAACTCAAGGGCCCATTAATTTCTATACTTGGCAAGGAAACTCGTAAGTCTATTTTTGATTACTGTTTGATTTCCAATCAAAATACTTATAATGATCTTCTATAATTAGTAAGAAAAATGATCATAGACCATCATCATCATCATCCCTCTTTTCATGTAATTAAAAAATATATTTTTCTATTGTATTTATTTTAATTAATACATGGCCACGATTTTTTAAATATTTCTTATCAAAATACCTTATTAACACTTTTTAAACCCAGAAATCACAAATTTGTTACTTCATTGGGAAGAGGGTTCTTAAAAAGATTTATATTTATTAAATATTATTAATGTAAAGTTCTCAAGAAAAGTATACTTTATTATATATTACACGATATGTGAATTAAATAAAAATTTTTATGTAAATATTGGTATGTAAGTAAATGTCTGGGTCTAAGAAGACCCACCGATGATCGTGTGAATATTAATTAATTTTATTCTTCTTATTTAAATAAAAATTGCTTAATTCTATAGGCAAGTTCTCTCATATAATTCAAATATTAATGTAATTTGGTGACTCCTTGCAAATGAACATAAACAGTAAACAGATTTGTCATAGATTCGACCTTCCGTATGGTACGTGACTGTATTACATACTGAAAAAATCGCATAGAACAAATAGTTCACATAAATTGAGGGATGACTATAGTATGAAACAATTTTTTAATTAAAAAGCTTAAGCTGTATTTATCGCCTTTATCAGCGTAATAAAGAAATAGCCGTCATCCGTACCATCTTATCCAGAATGAATAAATTACTTTGCATATTGTGCGAAGAAACGTTTAGAGATTCCATGTTATCAGGGGAGATATACAATATAGGAATGAAAATTTAATTTTAGAATTTAAAAAAATAAGCAATCAAATCACAACACTAAGCAATCAAATTTTGAAATTTGGGAAACTTCTATTTCTTCATATACATAAATACATTAATAAATAATGACATTATCGTATGATTAACTACCATGTCGCGTCGAGATAATAGGCATATAATAGTAATTCTTTAATCACTTAAGTTATAATTAAACAACAATAGTAGCAAGTAGAAGATAAAAATGACCTCAGGAATTTCTGATCAAGTCCCTAACATTTGATAAGACTTAAAAAAAAATTTCAGTTAGCCTAATCCACTCATCTCATCCTGTTATGGTTCCTTTTATATATTTAATTCATTAACAGCAGGAATGAGAAAATATAAATACATAGTTTTCTACAAAGAGTGTGCCCCAGTTGGGTCATCTCGCCAACGTTTCCGGTGATCATAATAGTGACCGAAAGTGGACCAATCCTCCAATGGCCACTACATATGAAAAAAGTTCACTCGTACAATTTTCATAGAAATATATCTTCGCCGACTGATGAATACAACCACGTATGTTCTTATCGACGAGATAACAGAATCATGCCCATCCTCAGCTGGGTGCAAAACTAGCAAGTGCTTATGTGTGACATATGCCAGCTATTTAAGCGCGTGACATATGTCATTCAAGTTGGCTCAGGTGGTTGACTTATACCCTTTGATACTGATGAAAGTAGATATGACAGCACAGAATAATAAAAAATAGTGTAATATTCTAATTTTTATAAAAATTGAAAAATATAATCCCTGATATAATAAACAATATTTTTTAACAATTTTTCATTACAGATGGGTTGTTCTATTCTCTCATCCTGCTGATTTCACACCAGTTTGTACTACTGAATTAGGACGTTTAGCAGTACATCAACCTCATTTTGAACGTCGCAACACGAAACTGCTAGCTCATTCTGTTGATAAGCTGAAGGATCATGTTGATTGGGTTAATGTAAGTTGAAGAAACAACAAAATCAAACTAAAAGAAAAATACAGAATGAGTTACCCCAGGCAAGCCACTTTGAAGTTGATTTTAAAATCCCTTAAGTCCTTTTTTCTATCTCAAAAAAATATACAATTTATTTAGATGGCTTGTCTTAGGTGACACCTTGTATATGAAGAGCACATTGCCTTTTCTAAGAAATGTTACAAAAACTAGATTTCTTCTTTTAAAGACTCATAAAAACTAGGTAGAGACAACAATCTCTTTTTGTGTCTTAAGATGTAAGGGGACCTTTTATAGGTATAGGTACCATTGGGGATAACAATGGCTCATCCTTTCATTTTTTATATATAATGATGCATAAGTTCTACTATTTTTAGATATTTGATTAAAAAGTAGATTTTTCATATCTTGCGTAACTAATGATGTATAGTGAAAAGCATATTTTACTCAGATATGTGTGCATTTATAAATATATTATCAATTCTTTTACTGATAAGGGATGTGTACACATTAATAAGAGAGTACACCAGAGAATTATCGTACTGATATTATATATTCTATTTTGAAGTCAGCAAAAATCTTCCACTAGTTCTGAATGATAAAATATAATGAAAAAGACATGAGTGATTGAGACAGTGATGATACAGCAGAAAATATGAAAACAAAAAGTAATATAAAACTGAATTTTACACATTCGAACCCACGTAGGTAAATCTACCCACACCAGAGAAGCGGCGATTTTTAAGAAAAATAAAATGGTTTGCTTTGTCCGAGGTTCGAACGTGTTTAGGAGTTCGAAATTTATGATATAAAGTAAATAATTCCTGTTTTACATAAGAATATATTTATAACAGGACATTAAATCCTACTGCCAAGATATTTGTGGAGCTTTCCCTTATCCAATCATTGCTGACCATGACCGAAGTTTGGCAGTGAAATTGGATATGATTGATGAAGAAAGCAAAGATAATCCAGATCTAGCACAAACCGTTCGTGCTCTATACATCATAAGCCCTGATCATCGTGTACGCTTGTCAATGCACTATCCAACATCTACTGGTCGCAATGTGGAGTAAGTTATATTATTATTTAGATTTATATATTATGGAAAACATGTTAACAATTTTGTTATTATTTCCAGTGAAATATTGAGAGTTATAGACTCTTTGCAGCTTGTTGATAGAAAACCAGGAATAGCAACCCCTGCTAACTGGGTGGTAAGTAAACCTTACTTTTGTTACCTGTGATTCTTATATTTTGATAAACATATTTAAAATTTTACTAATGAAATATTTAGCGTGTTTTAAAATCTATTTCGTGTTTTCTTATAGCCAGGAGAAAAAGTTATGATTCTTCCTACTGTGAAGGATGAGGACCTTCCTAAATTGTTCCCTAAAGGAGTTGATAAAGTAACAATGCCTTCTGGAAAGGTTTATGTACGCACAACCACTGATTATTAAGTAAATCTACAAATAAAGCTTTGAATAAAATATAATTATAATTAACTAACGTGATCTTAGAAGTGAAATTATAGAAGAAAATATAACACTATTTAAGTCTAATTACAACAGTTAATATGTAGGAATGTTATGTTCATAAATATAAAAATAATAGTAATCAAATTATTATTATAATTTAAAAAATATAATTGAAAAGTCTGTTGCATTTTTTTAGAAATATAAAATAAGTAATACATTCTCACAATTGAAATATTTTTTGTTAGTATAAGCTTTATAATCTGAAGTTTTAATTGTAACTTGATCCAGCTATTGTTACTACTTTACAGTGTATAATAATAAAATGTGTATTTCATAAATATCAGTTGCGTGTTTTTAATTAAATATTCATGGCGCTGGAATAGGGACGGGCATCGGAACAATCACTGGTTAGTGGCTTCAATTATAATCTAACAAACAAGGGCAATGTGTTATTTGCGATGCTTACATTGTCAGAACAACATGACAGATGCCAAACATGTCTCACATGTTGTTTGACCTTGCTAAATCATTTCAAAATATATTTCCCTTGTTTGTTATAATTGCTATGTGAAATATTGTCCTCTGCAACTGCCCCTGTACTAGTCCCTGTTTTATAGCATTGCAGATTTGAAAGAACACATTATAATTATTATTTAAAACTTTATAATAATCAAATTATAAAATTTTGTTATTTAAAGTTCTATAATATTTTACCATCTGAGTATATTTTTTAAAATATTTAATATTCTTTTGCTATAACATTAAAAATATTAAACATATTCATAGAATTAAGAATGATATCCCTAATTTGTTATGTTTTGTAAAATTATCAGTAATGATATCCTTAGAAAATAAAGACAACAGTATAAAATAAGACTTACTATGTTTTCTGGAAGCTTGTGTCCAGGAAGATATTTAACATTTTCATGCAACTGATTTATAATATCAGTTAATTTTTGGCTATTCACTATTTCTTCATAAACATACATCGTCACTCGTGTTTCAAATTTGTTGTTGTACTTGACAACATTGGCACCCACAATTTTTGCAATGGCTGAACCCCTAAAACAGAAAATACATAATATGTAATATCCGTATAATATTACTATCAGCTTTTATACATGTATAATCATACACGAATTCTCTGTTCTTTTCATAAATAGCTTTTCTTCTTACATAATTCTTTGAGATTATCTTTCAATTTATGTAATGCTTATTTTTTGACTTTAAAATTTAAATGTCTATTAAAATAATTTCAGATCTATAAAATAGTTAATTTGAACAATTCGATAAGAAATAAACATTGCTTTTAAATGTAACAATCATTTTATTATTAAAAAAACATAACATTTTTTGTCAAAAGACAAAAGTAATACCTCATCCATTATGTGAAGAATTCCAATTATACAAAAAAAAGTTACAACCTATTTGTTAGTACTTTAAAGACAATAAATTTAAACACTATAATTTATTAGCGATTTGCACATTTAATAAGGTACCTCTTGTATACCTCTTGATATGTTATGCAAGCAATTCTACAAATGTCAGTAATGGAATAAAATGTAGTGATAAGTAGTTAAGAATAAGTACTATGGTCAATTATGTAATAACAAATGTAACATATTTAGTTAGAAATAATGTGAATATACAGAATTTCTATTAAGTACAGACTCCAACTTTTATTTATGAAAATTATTATAAAACTGTCAAATACACATACCAATTTCCACTCCCTACAATGCATATCCTCTTCTTTGCTGGCGCACTCATTTTGCAGTATTATAGTATTACAAAATAAGAATTTACAAATTCACGAAGGTGTTAAGGGTATCTTATGACGAACAAAGTGTTGCAAATCCGCGTATTTTCGGGCGCCGATGTACGATTGACTGACTAACCGACTAACTTACAAACTAACTTCAGCCTTCATTGATCTTAGTAACGATCACAAATTATTTTCTAACAGTTGACGTTCAGTGGACCAAGGCCAGGTTAAACGCAATCGCAAACCGTAGCCAGATTAAATTTTAAAATTAGAGATAGTATAATAATACTACAAGCGTTACAAAAGTTTTAACACTTTCAAATAACTTCATTTTCCTATTAATATAAATTACCAGTTGTAACGTTTATATAGTAAGCAAACATTCATATGATGTATTAATTAATATAATTTTAAAGGATGTACAAAAATAAATACAAAATTTCATGATACAGTACAAATAAATTATTTGTAAAATAAAAAGAGATCATGATAAAAAGGAATTGTTCAACTGCTAACATAACATTTAAAGAAATAATTAATACTGTATCAATTTTGATTATTGTAGCAAATTATCAATAATTTTGCACCAACTCATTAGTTATTATTATTGAGGTATAAATATCTTCTCTTCTGTCCTCCAATCTTCATAGATGGCATCTTGGTGAAGGGCACTGCAGTATTGAGGTATTAACGTCGTCATCCCTACATATGAAGTAAATACAGTTAAAAATAAATAAATCTGTTGTATACCTTTAATTGTAAACGTTACCCTTGTACAGTTATACCATTTACACCCTTAAGCATGCTTAATAGAAAGATTGATAGTAGAATGATAGTACAACTTAGATTGTGTAACAATTAAAATTATTTGAGATAGATAACAATATTTATAGTATACTGTATTTATATTAGTGAACTACACTGCTAACACAATATATTATAAAAATATTGGTATTATAGGTTTTTGGAAAAAAGGAGAAACATTACTCTAAATAAGGATTCAGATTAACAAATAATAGTCATATATTTGATTTTCATATTACATTGTTAAAGATGATTTCGATTTTGTAATATAACAGTTCACAATTTATATAACTGGAAATAAAATCGAAATATCGCTAGTACAATTCATCTATAGAATCTTCTTAATTTGTATAACAATTCTGATAAAATTTTAATTAAAATATATAACAACACATAACATATTTTTTACATATTACATATTATTTTTCGATATATATGGAGAATATAAGATTTGTACTTTCTACACATGTATATAGACAAAAAAAAAAATTAGTGCTGTTAAGGGTGCATTGAAATTATTGTTACATGAACTATAGTTAGTCTGATACGAGTACAGTTTATAATTAAAAATTTAAGATACATAATAAATTGAATGAATGATAAGAAATAGAGAAACGATAATTTAACAGTACTATTAAAATCATTTTCAACTACTTAAAATATTATGAGATTTATTAACAATCCATGGTCCTTTAAGTTATTTTTTTTAAACATATCTTTGTTTTTGTGTTGAATCTTCTGTTTTAACACAATTAGATTGTCTTCAAAAAATTAATTATTAGAAGATTCTTATTTAACACTTGTCATTTAATATAACAGATCTAATATAAACATTTTGTGCGTTTAATAAGCATTATTTTTATTTTTATCTTAAGATTCATTTGAAAAATTTCGCAACACCCCTTTAGATTAAGAACAACGATAAATATTCATGCGAAACATGACACCTGATGTTAATGTTTAAAAACATTTTATTTTTATCAATAAAATATAATGTGCAACATGTACCCAATTTAAAGATAATTCTGAAAAAATTTATACTGAATACAGTATGTCAAAATATTTTTCTTATATACTGTATTATAAATTTTAATTAAGTTAAAAATTAAAAAGAAAAATTATGTATGTATATATGTACATTTTTTTTTATTATTACTCAAGAGTCACCACTGAACTATATTTATGACTATGGTCTATTAAATAATATCAATAACATGATAAAATTTTTCTGTTCATTTAGTATTATTAAATGTCTGTAAAATATAAGAATAAAAATCCTGTTATCTTGATCTTGTAAAATTAAAATTCATTTTACATACATGCATAACACTGTATTTTACTGATAAAAATAAAAAATATTTTACTTAAAAGTCCAACGTTTCACCATTTGTGCATATTCTAAACAAAAATAAGCAAATTTTTTTGGAAAAAGGATATGTATATCTTGCTATCACGCGCATGGTAACTATTTACAAATATGTACATCTATTATACATATTATATATGTATATTCATATACCATTGTGTAAATGTTTGTGTATTTTACACAGTTTTAAATTGTTTTTATACATATTTCAACAATACAACAACAACAAAGTTAACTAGGACCATGGTTAAACAAAATAACTATTACTGTGGTGATAGACATATTATTAAAGTGCAGAATTTTGAACTTATTAAAATTTATATTTTGTACTTAATTTGAAAATAAATTCATTTTAATAACACGGAGTTACTGAGATTCCAGATATAAATTTATAATATCTCAAATAAAATGTCTATCATTTTATGTCAATTCTAATCAAATGTCAGGTATTTCAATTAATCCATCATTAATTATAGTGGAGACAATTAAGCTTACATGTGTTCTGGATGATTACGTATGCAATCGATTAGTTCTGTAGGCTTTATCTCACCAATGCAAATCCGGTGTATAGCTGTGAAAAGAGGAAACCTGCTTGCCATGTTTCTAGCTTTTAACATGTAATTTACCTCTTCAGCAGTGAAAGGACCTTGCAACTTTTGTCCATTCAACATTTCTTTTTCCAATTCTTCGATCGACTATAAACACAATAATTCATGTCTATAATTTTTTATACGGTATACATTTATAACTTATGTAACAAAACTGACCTTGCCAGTTTTCACGAAAGCTTCTGAAACTTTACGATTACGGCCACCATAGCATGTAGTAATAAGATCTGCCACTCCACAACTTTCAAAGAAAGTAGCAAGTTTTCCACCAGGGAAAAACAAATCTACGAATTTAATCATTTCCATAAGGCCTAATCTAATCACTGCAGCCTTTGTATTATCACCTAATCCTAAACCATCAACGAAACCAGCACCACAAGCTACTATATTCTATACAAAGATTAAAAATAAAAATGATTTATTTTTTATGAAATTTATAAGTAAGATTAAAAATGACATTTAAGAATATAATTACCTTTAGTGCTCCACAACATTCAACTGAATCAACATCTTCAACAACCACAACTCTAAAATATGATGTTTGTATCAAATCTCTTAGGACAGGAGCCATTCCTTTATCCTTGCAACCTAAAAATTACAATGTTATTAAAAAAAATTATACTTAAGAATTTATAAAATTTCATATATTTCATATACATATTACTTCAGTCGATTTCTCAAGTCGACTATCAGTACGCTTTTTATAAACTCCATCCTCTAAGATTAGAATTGAATTTCTTATTTAGTTGCATCAAAAAAACATTTCAACCAGTTCCGTTTTATTGTAAATTTGTTCTGCTTCATTTTTTTATCAATTATCTGATAGGAAAATAATCCTTGAAATTCGATTAAGCATTAATAATTCAAATTCTCAATTGTTTTCAATCTTATTGTCAGATTACTTTAAAATTGTTTCTAGAAAATACATTGAATTATTTAATAAATATAAAATTTAAATTTTTATATGATTAGATATTTTGATAAAAATATTTTCTCTCTCTAGCTGATTAAAATATTATCTTAATTCACACATTTTGTATGTTTTACACATTCTGAACAATTTAATTTATTTCGCACAGTTGTACGTTTATAGTTCACATATTTTTTGTACGTTTTGGTATACTATAAATGTACAAACAGGTTCTTTTTTGTACTATCAGATTCTACATAAAAGCGACAAAAAAGCTCATTTATTATTGCATTTTCTATTATTGTAACAAGTATTCAAAGTAACACATTTTTTTTAGACACTCATTATACAATTTACGTATAAACATATTTCATAAATACATTGAATAGTTACCAATAGTAGTTTCACAAAACATCTCCTCAGCCACCTCAGAAGCTAAATTTGCCCCCATTAAAACCGAGACGGGAATACGAAGTTGTTTTGAAATAATGTGAGAAATAAGTTCAATACCGCCACCCTCTTTTTGATTAAAACCCTACAAAACAATAATAGATAAATCAAATAATTTGAATAGTTGCATTATTTAAAATTACATGCTAAAATTGCTGCTTTAATAGTATCGTAGTTCATTGTATCTCTATGTGTGTATTTATTTACATGTAATTAATTAAAAATAAATAGAACTATCCATTGACTTTTAACATAAGATTTAAAAGACTGTCACTACAGAGGTTTTTGTATGAAAAAATCGTTTAACATATGCTCGACCGTCAACGCTTAACACGTTCAGATCCGAGATAAGACTCGCAGCTCAGCTAAACGACGAAGTCGTAAATCAAACTGTTAAAAAAAACAAAACTAATCGGTTCGGATGCTGTTCGGTGACCGAATTTCATGTATTTTCATGCCTGAATGATCTTACGACTTCTTAAATAAAAATTGCCGCCTTTCTAATACGGATAGATCTACCCAGGTGAATAGGCGATTGTCCAGCTTCTTGCACTCAGAAGCCAGCGTATCAACAACTTTATGTTTTTGTAAGACTCTGTCATGATTGATATAATATTTCCTTTTACATATTATGTACATATATTTATCTTGGAAAAATTGTTTTAATTTTTTCAAATATACTTCATTGTAAACTGTCTTCTCAAGTCATTGAAGGGATGGGCCATGTTATTAAGGGATAGGATTGACTTGGAAACTGTAGTTGGATGATTATAGAAAATTACCACTCACAAACTTCTCAGGTGTAGAATAAATGCTTGGAATAACATGTGGGGGAGGTCCGACTGTTCTTTTCAACGGTTTTAGCGGTAAACTCAGGGAGCGCTTTGACCTTGAGAAAACATGTAATGAATTTAAAAACTTGATATCTAAAAATACTAGTATGTGGTAAACAGCAGCCAGAGTAAGGAAAAATTCTAACTTTTTAAACAAAGAGTAATAGTATTCAATGGCTTCACGAATTTTCCATTGCGAAGAAATACCGCTATAGTGACACATAGCAGTTCAATAATTAACAGATATTAATATTATTAGTCAATTGTAGTATCTGTTATAATGATGAGTACTTATCTCAATTTGCAAGAAATATAATTCGAGTTGAGTTAAAATTATACCTTTATCAAAGAGAGACCCACTGCTGTAGGTTTAATCTTTCCTAATAACGTGCTACATATCTTATTTATAAATTGATGTGGTATTACGAAAATAAGAATATCAGCATCTTTAGCAGCTTCTACAACATCAGGAACTGCAACCTGAAATAACAAAATGATATTAGTTATTGGTATTTCTAAATCAATTTTATTGATAAGATTTATAAAAATAACATAATTCTTAAAAACATTATTAGCATAATTAAAAAACTATTTCCAACTTAGTGGGTTTTTGATATTCAATCTGTAAACATTAAAAGAAGAATATTTTCTGTTAACTTGGTTGTAGTCAAATCCTTTATACAAAGTTATTGATATTAAAAATTAGAAGACTAAGTATGCATATGTAGAGGAAATAACTTTATCAATCATTAAAACTAAATTGAATAGTAAAAAACAGCTTAAATATCAAAGAAAAACTTTATAGTTAATAAGATGATATACAATTTTAAATTATCTGGAATTTTATCAATTAAATAAATACAAATGGACTTAAATTACAGAAAATTATCTATAGAAATTATCAATTATTATTCTAATCATAGGTATAAATAAGGAAACTACCATACATTTAATTACCCTTTGTTAAAAATGATTTAAATATACAAAGAAGAAATGTATGATTCATTATCTTCCATTCAAGCAAGTTACATAAGCAGAATGTATGGTTTATGTAGAATGATTTAAGTCAGCAAGGTTATACGACGTGTAATACGTTCGTATATATATCACGTGTCGTGTAAATTAACTTTTTGAACTTACATCATCAAGAAATTTAAATAAATTTCTAATATAAAAAAAATATAAATAAAACGTTTGCATTAATATACCTGTAATAAATACCATGATTTGCATATCTACAGGAAATAAATAATAATAATGTGCAAAGTATAAGATGTTAAGTAATATAGTATTTAAATATATTCGTATAAAGAATCAAAGCTTTGGTGTTTACATTTTAAGAAAAAATAAAATTGTACATATTGTCATATTTATCAATACGATGATTTTGTATATTGTTTATAATATAACTGATACTGTACATTTTTTGTAATATTTAAAACGTAGATATCAAAAACACGTGTTCAAATATTTGATTGATGTACACGGAAATACAAAATGAAGTCAAAAGTATTTTAAGATTTTTCATTTCAATTATTCTTTAAATGTTTTTAACAGTTAAACGGATATTGCAATTAATTTAATTATTTATTGTTGAATTACTTACGTACCACATTTGGCGGAAGTGTATGTCCTGGAAGATATTTTACATTTTCGTGTGTTTCGTTAATAATCTCCGTCAGTTTTTTTCCGTTGATAATTTCTTCATAAACATACATTGTAACACGATCCTCAAATTTATTAAGCTTATTGGCATTAGTTCCAACTATCTTAGCAATAGCTGAGCCCCTATAAATCGTACATAAAGAAAACCATATAATAATTATGTTACAATTACTATTTAGACAATATTATTCATACAAACTTAAAACATGGAATGAAATATTTATTTACATAAAATAATATAAACGAAATTAATATTTTAAATCTGAAATATGTGTTATCTAAGACAGTTGATTGTTATGGCAGTTCCTTATAAACAAATATTTACTTCTAAAGATCATTTTTAAATTTAAGCCTAAAACTATATCATTAATTCTAGTTTACATTAATCAATTTTATATGATAGTGTAATTGCATGCAAACTAAATTTATTATGAATTCTGAAATATAACTGGAATTTCAAATTTATTTTGCTAAAAGTGGAAAATAAAATAAAAATGAAAACTTTTGTTAAGGAAAACAAGTAACAACTATGCAAAATTCCAGTTGGTTTTCATATACATAATACACATGAAAATCAATTGTAACACAAACAGTTGACTGCAAATAATTAAATCAATGATAACCAATTATTGAACAGAGCTAATATTTGAAAAAAAAACGTACCAATTTCCTGATCCAATAATGCAAACACGTTGTTTAGCTTCCATTATTTTGTTTAATAGTAACAATAAAGATGTGAAAATGAAAACTAAAATGGATCGAAAACCGATGTGCGAAACTGTGCAGTTTTAAAGCAGGGGGGCGACTGGACAACTCGGAACTCGGAACGCTAAAAGACTTGCGCTATTTTTCGTGGAAGTGGGAGTATACGGATTCCAACGATTAGTGATAGGCGCCCCGTTGCAAGCAAATATCATCACTTAGCCAATCAAAGTCTGATATGATAAAGACGAATGTTATCTCTATTTTTATGTTTCAAAGGTGCAATTTTGTTTACCCAGATAATAATTTTTATTTATTTATCTACGTAATCCTGCATTATTTCAAAGTGATAGCTTAGAATATAAGATTAAGCTTAGATATAAGAATATACATGTATTTAACTTTCTAAAACCAGAATGTTATTTCAAGTAAAATGAATTTACTTCATTAAATGACAAATCTTTTAGTAAATATGTTAGAAAACATGGAAATAGCATTATAATAATTATGTAAGAAGACTTTCCTTCATTTTTTAACTTCTTATATTTAATAAATTGCAATATACAAATTTCCTTGAAATAAATATAAAATGCTTGTAAATATAATAAACATATTGGAAATTTTGTTCCTGGTTTCAATTAATTAAACATAATATTTTGCATCATTTATTTTTTTTTATTACTATGTAACATATGTATATGCACGTACTTTCAGTACATTTTAATTATGGTTTTAATTTTCATGTTTTTGTTTTTTCATTTATCTTTATATCACATTATAGATTACAATTTTTAAGATACAATTTAACTCTATACAATCGTAACTGTATCTAAATACAGAACATATACATAATATTTATTTACTTTCACTACATATTTCAGATCTAATTACAATTTATGCTTTTTATACTTTAATAAATTCTACGGGCACCATATAACAACAATTTATTGATCACAACGTTTAAGGTTATGGTTAATTACGAATTAGATAAATTATACAATTAAGTTTACATTCAATTATTTTTACAAGTACTGTACCGAACAAATTTTAACACGTGATTGCAATTTAAAAACGAATCCTTCTTTCATTGTCAAAGAAATAACTCTGTAACATGTGAAAGATTAATTTTATGCACTAAAATATAAACTATGTAATTTATTTAAAAACAATATTAGCTTTTAATTATTAAATGTTGCAATATTATGAAAAGTCATATTCGCTGATAATATATTCTGCACATGACATTTCATTTTTTTAAATAAGTTAATTTTAGTCCTCTGCAGTGGACTGCGCCGCATCCAAAATAATTTCAAATGAAAATGGCTGAAAACTGTATCCCAGTCCAGCGTAAAATTTACTTTGGAACTCGACCCTATAAAAATACGAATCATCTTTATTTTCTGAAACGAGCATTTCATTTATAAAAACAAGTTAAATGAAGAAAACATTTCCCATTATTTAGAAGATTTTCAAAATCATATGTATATAAACAACTATGAAAGATAAGAAATAAAAATTACTTTTGTATGTAAATTAAATATATAAAACGAAATAAGGAACACCTATGCTGTGATAAAAAATAATTCATACCAATGAAGTCGAAGTGTATGTAAGAAAGCTGACAATCCTTCCATAAGTACCAAAATACCAACGGTAAGAACGGCCCAAAATGCAAATACGGCCCATAAAATAATTCCACCGGACCAATCTTCTTGAGTTAATCCATTTCTCATAACCATATTCCACAATACTTCTGATAATTCTAAACATCATTAATGAAATATGTCTATAAGGATATGTTTATTGTATACATTATCAAATAGTAAATAAAAATCTTTCAACTTACGAGCATGAGCAAGAGATAATGCCCATAAGCGCAGATACGACGCAGTATGTGATACACTACCAAGTACATACTCAATAGTATGAATGCCTTGATGAATAAATACTTCATTCATATCTTCTTCTTCTTCTTCCCTGTGAGTTCCTTGGGGGACTCCGTTTGCTGGTTGTATCGATTCAACACCACCTTCTACATCTCCATTTTCTGTACCATGGTTATTTAACTAATAATATAAAAAAAAAAATATTTAGAATCAATATATATTCTTCAACTACTGTTTACTGTATATTGCATATTTTCTTAATATAAACTTATGACATATAAATGTTTAAAATATTAAATTTTGCATTCAACCTGAACATGTTGCTTCTTTCTATTGTACATTAACATAAAAGGTTTGGCGAGCAACATCCATGGAATGCAAAGAAGAGCTACAAAAAGAAGAAGTTTCTGGAATCCTTCTTGTCCAGCATACATCCAAGGTGTGCATTGTTCTGGTGCGGTTCCAGGTTTATTTAGTACCATGTTAATAAAAGTAATTAATACTGATGGTGCACAGAAAGGGCCATGTTCTGGATCACTACCTGTAAATAGTGATAGTAATGAAAAATTTAATATAAAAATTTTATATTCTAATGATAAAATATTATTTACCACCATTATCAGGGCCATATTTCATCCATTTAATGAACATAAGGAGTACCATGTACAGGAAAAGAAACATTAAAAATACAATTTGAGGAATAAATTCACAAAATATGCTAAGTTTCCTTCTAAAGTACATATGGTTCCACAGTCCAACAATTACACCAAATAACATATGCAAGACTCCAAAAATTATAGATATTTTCATTTTGTATGAATTTAGAAAGATGATTTTATTCTCAGCTAACTGCCACACAGGATCCATTCCTACTGGATATGGAGTTTGCAAATAGTCCTTTTGACTAGGATTTAGTTGTAACTCCTTATTTGCGTGTATCGTACTATAGTCATAATTGATTGCCCAGTAGGAACCAAATATATTCAATGACTTAGAAAACACATCGTTGTATATGAACCCAGTGTAGATAGAAAATAGACCCATTAGAAAAATAATATATCGACCACCAAAGAATATATTCCAAATTTCATTATCAGATTTTTTCGCAGCCAGTGGTTTCTCCTTTAGTACCATCCATCCACCAAAAAGAAACAGAATAAGTCCATGGCCAGAGTCTCCAAACATCACAGCAAACAAAAATGGAAATGTTATTATAGTATAAGGTGCTGGATTCATTTCTCTATATGAAGCAACTCCATATGCATCTATCAAAGCTTGGAAACCTTTAGTAAATTTATTTGTCCGATTGTAAGTTGGTGGATCCTCAAAAGTTGCCATACGATTTAGAATTGGCGGTACAGAACTTCCACTACGTTCCTAAAATAATTAATCTATATTATTACATTACAATAATTTTAAATAAAAATGAGAAACGGTGTTACAGATAATTACAGTTCCACGTCTCAATGCCAATTGAATTGTTTCAATGTCCAGCACAGGAACCCAGCATTCAGCAATTAAACATTTCTGTGTAACATCTAAATTAAACAAATTCAATGTATGGTAAATTGCCTTGATTTTACGGACTTTGACAAACCAATTTTTGATATTCTTTGCAGCAGCTACTAAGACACGATGACGATGATCTTGGGTTTGTCCAAGAACCTAAATCAAACAATTTATTAATTATTAAATTGATAATTGTAGAAAATGATTATACTGAGAACAATGAACTGAACTGTATTTAAATCTTCAATTCTGGTCATAACTCCCATTGCCATTTCACGACGATCAGCAGGTGCCTCAGGGCAAGGATACAAAGTAGCTCTGAATCCTTCACAGATTTTTTTTACTCGAGTCTTCAGCTGATCTCCTTGGAAGAATATGATGAATACAGATTTGAAGACTTGGTCTCCCTAAAACGTAACAAAATATTATTCTATAGTTAAAGAATAAGGAAGAAAGTTAAATGCTCTTAAGGATTTCAAAGTTTGCTTACCGTCGAGGGATCCTCCAGAGGAGTTTCAATTTCTGCTTGACGTAAGAATACATTTCCACGACACGCACGCCAAAGCATGCGTTCAAATGCTGGAATACGTTCTCTTAGGATAACTCCTGCGACGAAACTATTTGGAAAATAATTTTAATAAAAATGTACTCGCAAGAAGGAAACAAAGGGGAAAAAAAGCTACATACACACGTATAAGTGTGATGCATCTATAATGACCACCTAAAATATATATATATTTTTTTAAAAATAAATTTCATACATTTATTTGAATTTGAGGGATCAACACAAGAAGATATTTAAGGTGATCATTATAAATTACTTCCTGTATATTGCGACAATTCGTTTTTGATTTAATATGATAAAATGTCAGCAATATACAGTAAAAATTATTTCATAGTAGAAATTAACTTGTTGAAAGTTCACATTATGTGAATATTGGATTTTCAATCTGTATCGTTTGGCATCTTTATCTTCTTATGTAGTTTTGTTTATAATTTTATTTAAAAATCCACTTAAAAAGAAGAACAATACTTTATATTACCATTGAGATAATGATGATTTTTGTAGCCATGGTTATAGTAGTAAAAGGAAAGTTTTAGTTTCTATATAATAATAGTAACAACGATTATAGTAAAACAACAAGGACATCAACAATGACAATAATATGCAACCTTGGTTTTAAAAAACCATTCTGATATGCTTAGTTATGCAGAGAAAAAACTGTTAAATTTTAATAGTGGTACAATTAAATGAAAACTACATAAGTGAACAACGTTTAGCAAGAAAGGAAGACATGTCATTATGAAACTTGGAAAAATCAGTAACTGCAATTCTTGAAAAGCTTCATTTGTTACTACTGGTATTCCATAATGCAAAGATATGTTAAAACAGTTATAATCAAACCAACTTGAAGATTGTAATGTTATTAGTTTAAGTAAAAGTATTTGTATTTGTTTAAATAAAAAGAAAGTATATATGTATTTATTTGTGCGTTTAGGTAAATTAGGTATTTAGGAATATAAACATTTTGTTATATAGAAAAAGGTATACTATTCAGTAAAAAAAGCACAAATACATTACAATGTTTTACTACACCATGGGACATATAAAATAGCAGGTAAATGTTTTATACTTCAAAACTGGGTTTAATGTTACATTAGAGCAAACTAAATGTAGGTGCACATTTAAGAAGAGCCGCAATGATTGTTATCAATATATCATTATGTTCTTTTTGAAAATTAAAAAGAAAACAGAAACTATTATGATTACATAATGACTCTTTATAAATTATACACCTTTTGTTATCAAGATTTTCCTAATTTCTACAAAGAAAATATTTAGGTGGTATTAATTAATCATTCTCTTACATAGTTAAAATCTATAATGAAATATACAATTATCAAACTACGTGTATGTATTAATTTATTAATCGTAAGTATATTTGTCTGCCTTTGAAGATATAAAAAAGACAAATTTATAATTGCTTTGAAGCCATTAGGACATATCTCTATATCCCTTAATGTCTTAGGATTATCTACTTGACAATTTTATTATCATTTCTATCTGATACACTATCAATCAAGTACTAATATTAAACATACAAAAAAACAAGTTCAATCTTATAATAGTTTTTCCATAGCTGTATTAAGTGTCATAAAGTATGTAAGTATTTTATGAAATAATTACTGTTGTTAGCTAATCAGGTCGTAATTTACATTCATGTTCTCTGCAATCAAACTAATAACAACTTGTGGCAGTACAGATAACTTAGTAACTACATGGTTTTACTCCTCATTTTTATAGAATTTCATTAATCTTTTTTATATGTTCAAAGGAACAAATATATTTGCATCTTGACTACAACTATACACAAAGAAGTCCTTTAGATTTATTGCTGAAATAATAAAAAGGATAACTGTAACTTTATTAGGAACCCAATTCTAATATTCATGTATATCACTGACATAATTTCTGATTGTAGATTTCAGAAGGATAATAATAATGTATGGGAAGGATTTACTAGTGATGGAGTACGTACCCCAGTTGGACAGGACCAAGGGCAGACTGGCGAGCGATATTATCATCACTAATCAATGCACGTGTCATGGACTCGGTAGGATTCAAGCCTGCGTGCTCTTGCTGACGACACAACAGACAAGACACAACCACATTAGCACACTAGACATGACTATAATGCTCCAACGCCACATTATCTTTGCACAAGTCCCTTACGTTTAATAAACGCAGAGGTATGATTAAAGATATCTTTAAGGGTTCATATCTCATAAATAAAATGTTCTTTTGAGGGGTTTTATGAATAAGTTTTATCAAAGTCTATGGATAACTTTAAGTTAAAAAAAATATATATTCTAGTATATACTCTATATTACATTAAAAGTATAAAATAACTCCTAAAGCTTCATTATTCACAGAAATATTTTATTCAATGCATCTTATGTTCCATTTATAATTATGCAATTTTTGTTCCTATTTAGATGTAACTTTCTGTATAAATTATGTATATGAACTACCTCTGGCCAATTGTAATTTTATTATAAAAAAATATATAATATATGTAACCATAATTATTTGAGCAGGATATAGAAGTAGCTACCATGTATTAAACCATTATATAAAAAAAAAAATGTAATAAAAATAATGGAAGTAACTTTGAACAAAGATATCTTAAATCAATCAAAACTGAAGTAAATATGAATTACCATGCAATGTTACATAATAGTAAAGCTGTTAATATCTATAATAGTAGATAATCATTATTACACATTAAAGAAGGTACAAAAAAGTGTTATATGCATGGCAATTCTTATTTAATAGATTAACTGAAAAAATTTAAGCTATAATTATACCTGTTAGAGTTAAATTAATGTTAAGTTCTACTTAGATTTACTTAGAAATCTCATGACAACTGATTAATTTATTTTTATAATAGTATATCCTTTGCTCATTCTATATTTTATAGTAATATAGAACATAATAATGATAATCATATAAATACAAATGTGGTTAATTCTTGGAGGAGAAAAAGAATGGAAAAAATATCTTTTTTTACATGAAAAGTATCTCCATTAGCAGGTGTATTATCATTACCATTATAGTGTTTATAGATTTATTTATTTTAATCTATAAATAGACTCATGTGTGATATAAGGGATATCAGAGTTTTATAAAGTTGGTGTCATGAAAGATCAAGAACATTTGTAGGTCATTTAATTTTCTTAGAATTTAATAATTTTAATTGCATTGAATTGAGATGGAAAAAAAATATCTAATCCCATATCTATTGCTTCTTTGTGTAATAAAAAGATTCGTATGAAAGAAATTCAACTGTAATAACTATTTAATCTACTTTGTTATGCTTTAATAGAATGTTCTTTTAAGCATGTTATTAAATTTTTCATGCACATAATCTGTTAAAAACCTACAACACATTACTTGATTTAAGCAGCTTTTTTATATTTCCTAGGTCAATATAGAAAAGCATTTAAAATGATTCAATATTTAAAACTATTACCTATTTGATAGAAAAATATCTAATAATATAAGTTTTTTGAAAATCTTTAAACTACGTATTTATATTTTTGTATAACATGTTATACGTTTTCAAGAATAAATCCATTTATAGATTAAAATTGATTATATTTCATTAATATACACATTATATTTTCATCTCTAAGTTTATTTTTTGACAAATTTAATATATCATTTTATATATATCAAATTTTCCTTAAAATAACATAAAATGGGAACACAATTTCTCGTAAGTATAATCCACAATAATAAGCATATCTATAATGCAAGCAATGTAGCAACATAAATGCAGTGATTTTTCTTTTATTATCATCTGTATAAAAGGAGACTGCTATTAGATATTATTCAATGTAATTAAGTGTAAGTTTTTAATACTTTTCTATTGACGTGCACAACATGCAAACCAAGCTCACTACATATTATGTTAAAAGGGAACATATGCATATGTGTATGTGTATGTATGATGTACATATGTATTATTATTATTATACATACCCATGGCCACACCATCATCATTTTTGTTATTTACACGAAAGATATAAATAAATAATAAATGAATGAATTCATATGTAACTTATAGTTGCTATAAATACTCGATACAGTTTGAAATGTTCTAAATAAATTTAAATATGTTATGTAAATGACGTCAAACTGTATCAACTGTTATACAATATAATGTTTAAATTACATTTCAGAGCAGTGATTTAACACACATTCTGGTAAAAAACTGATACTCTTTTAATAACAATTAATATATGATCAATAGGTAGATGTTATTCAATTAAGCAAACAGTCGTATTTGTCTTTAAAGAACAACCAAAGTCGCTAAAGCAACGATTTTTCACATCACCATTTATAAACATTATACACATCTATTTCTGCTTAATTTTTTTTTTTTAAGTTACTTAAAAAAAGTTAACTTGCAAAGTACAACTAAACAGATAATAAAACAATTGTGATAGATTAGTTTAATGTGTACAAATGAAAAAAAAAAGTGTGAACATGAAGTGTACTGATAAATTAATTAAAACAACAACAAAACATTAATAGGAAAACGTGATACGTATTACAATACAAGATTCAAAACTTTGACAGCCAATTTTATATACATAAGTACATCTTTGTTCAATTAGTGGTTGTCACCAGTCATCTTTTTATGAACACTTTCATCCCAATTAATTCAAGTTACTTAATGCTATGTTTCAAGAATCAAATTACAGTATCTAATTATAAAATGAAATTTAAGTTCAAAATTTTGTATATATAAACAGTCTTGTGAAAGTTTGCAGCAACAGTACATACTTTTATGAAATGCAAAGCTATCAAAGTATTGAAATTGTATGCAAAAATCAACGTTCTTTTTGTTTAATTCTTAAAGTTTAATTTTTTTTAAAGTGTGACTTCTTGAAAAATTGATAAGTAACATAAGAACTACAAATCTTTTAGCGACTATGATATTAGTGCTCCTGTTTGGTTTTACGAGCTAAAGGATTTTAAGTAACTACAGGTAAAAAACACGGAGCAAAACAGATTTTCAAATGCAAATAACGGTTGATAACAGCTTGCCTGAGGGGATTCCTATAGTGTGCTTCTATGGTGTCTGCCGTAGTATACAGGTGCTGTAACCACAGAACACACTGACGCATCATGCCCTCTACTTAAAATCTATATTTGTACAATGCCTAACAGCACAGAAAACATTTATCAAAAGCTCTGCAATATGTGCAGATTATGAATATTAATAATGAATATTATGGATATTAATAAATTCTGATTTTATTAAAAAGTGCATACAGATGTATCTATAGATTTAATGTTTTCTTTGTTACTTTAATATATTACTATTATTGTTGCAAAGACATTCTATAGTAAATTGTTGATGAAATTTGTGAAATATTTTAAAATTAAATCTATAGAACATTTATGTTGTACAAACACAATTCTTAGCCACTGGTGTTTAAAATGTAGAACGTAAGGATTCTCCTTTACATTACAGATTTTAAAGTTACATTGTTTTCATGATAGTTTGTGAAGTGTATAAATCACTAACATTAATAATATAAACATAATATATAATATTTGTGGTATTAATACTACCTTAACAAATCTTTGTAGAAGAGAATTTTCTAATTCATATCATTTTTGTGTGATCTGCACAATGAATTATGAAATTAAATTTTTCAAGTTTAATGACTGCTGTAGGATAATTCATGAATCACCACGCTCTACATTGTTTGAATCTACACCACATTTAATTACCCGAGCTTGAGAGCCTGGCCGCCAGCGCGGAGGCCCTCTTCACCCAAGAGAGTGACTTGTTCTTCCTCACGGCTGGGGTCTGCCATCTGCGACACGACACCTCCATTCTCAGCCTGGCAACAGACACATGTCACCTCTCTTTTGCCCTATCTCCCGACTTGTCTAATATTTTATTCATACATTTATTAAACTCACCAATCTTAATACAGATGGTTATTTTAACAAAATCTCATAAAGGAATTGAAAACAAATGTATGAAATTAAAAGATTCTATAATTTTGTAGCTTGTAATTAAGATTAAATTTAATTTTCCAACTTATGCGGTATTTCATTTTACTGAGTTATTTACTTAAAAACAATAATAAGATATTATACAGAGTATCTAACTAAAATGTCTACATTTATTAAACTATTACAGATATCAAAATGAATTATTTACACAACAATTTCTGTATATACAATTTTTTTATATCCATAATAATTTAAGCGCATACACATTTAAGTCAGATACTGTGTGTATAATAATATTAAAAACTGATTGCATTTTTATCAAGATCTATGTTTTAAACATCACGCATCAAGAACAAATGCATGTTACAGATATTTAAAACTTTTGGACTTATTTCCTGTTGCAAAACATTGTATAGTACCGCTGGAAATATTTGTCTTATATGTGTGTCATTTCTGTATTAAGAAAGTACTGTTTGGGATAAATGATTATTTCATTCAAATATATATAGAATTTATGTTCTTAAATATTTAATACATATATATGTAATAAATATAATGTAACTAAATTTAGGCAAAATGTCTATAAAAATTGATTTCTACTAATAAAAATTACTATGAGTAAATTTCATTTCATCATCACAAAACTGTGAAAATGTTTACTATTATAAAAGTTACAATAAACGAATTACAAAATTATTGACACAGGCAGAAATTTGATAATAAATTTATATCCTTACTTTTTCTTATGTAAAATCGTATTGTACTGCTATTTTACAAGTGAGATTATAATTAAACAGAAATTAACTATAGAGAATATATTGAATACAACAGTATTTCTACTCATTTTTAAATTTCTATATTTAGAACTGGTCTTCATGTCATTGATATGTTATCACTTTTTAATCTGCAGTCATTCAAAAACAGATAACTATATGAATCATTGAATTAGAAGATAAATATAGAAAATAAAATTCCTTTGACCAGATTATCAAAAGAGATAAGAACAATTAATTATGAGAATTACTCTTGTACATTAAAATAAAAAATATAAGTATAACTTTGACTTTTACCAATAATTTTATAATTCATTCAGGAGATTTCTACTATAATTAGGTATTATTTAAAGTATCATAATCAGAATTGTGAAATAAATTAAAATATATACATTACTTGTATTTAAAATGCTCAATACATTTAACATTAGTTATACAAGTATCTCTACAATTTCAAACACATACATTATGTAATTACATAAGAAATCTCCAATTTTATGCTTTTTACTTAATTTTACACTTCAAGTGATAAATAAACGAGTTATAACAGGTTCAATTAACGCATATCTTTTTTTCATTTTTATGATACTTCTGTTAAATAAATTTTCAAATATTTAACAAAATAATTTGTAATTAGCTAAGATCATTTTCAATGATATAAGTGGTAGGTTCTTATAAAAAATCATATATCATCTATATATGAGTGACAATTGAATCATCGAGAATCTTATAATAAAAATGATCACATTTAAATTTGAAGATAAATAAGCAATTGTTTACAATACTCATTCTTGTTATTTCTCACTGCCATGTGAGATGGAGACAGTTCAAAGCAAAAACATTTTATGCAGTTTCATAATGAATGTGTTTGAAATCAAGTTCTACTCAATAAAATTTTTACTAGAATGCAAATGTTATTTGTTATTTCCAGATAATTTTGTTTTATGTGTATGTTTCCTTCAAGTTTGTACTGTGATATGCAATGGGTACCAGCTGAACAATGATCTGTTTAAAAAATGTGTTTTTTATCAAAGTTTTTTTTTTCAAAATGTTTCTAGCATGCATAGTTTTGTTTGTAATGATAACACTGTATATACACATAACACTTACAATACTTGGCATGCTTCATGCAAAGAAACCATAAAATAAATGTATATCAGTAACTTTTAATAAAAGTTACAACATTCACATGTACCAGTTAGCTACATGCATTTTTCAAACGTTTAATAATTCAAGCATCAGTACTATGTCTTTTATTTTGATGCATAAATTCATATAATTAAGCAATTAATTCATCATTTTAAATTAATAAAAATTAAATAAATACAAAGGGTTATATTCTTTGTTAAGGATAATGCACTATAATATAAAATATTTTCTATATAAATAATTTTTCAATTGAAAATGTAATGCATCATAGGTACAATCTATCTACGTATTATGTGTAAAGCAACCTATTTTAATCTAATGAATTATTATTCGTGGATACAAAATATGGTAATTTGAGATAATATATGAGCATATTGTTTATAATTTTTAGGGAAACACAATGTAAATATTGGGCAGGAAGCATGGAAAAATTTTTATATAATGTTGAAACCTTTATAACATTACATTATGCTTTTTTCAAAACTATATACCTTCCATAAATATATTATTTCAAATACCTACAATGTATTCATTAGTAAGTTAAAATGAGTTACTTTATACACTTATTGTTGTGTAATGATATAAAGTATCCAAAACTCTTGATGCTACAGTTATTAATACACAATTATAAAATAGTTTAAGTCTACTAAGTATGATATGAATGTAATGTTTTTGATACTTCTATATTTCTACTAATTAAACTACTAGATGTAACATGATTACAGTTTACTCGTTATTATACAATGTACGTACATTCATTACGTTACATGTGTGCAAGACATGATTCTTACAAAATCTAAAAAAGATACTTTTGAAAAACCAAACACAGGGGATTATGAACAACTATCTTAAAAAATGATTTAATGATATATTAAATTAAAAACACTTAATTACTACATTTATGTGTTTATATATATATGTACCAAATTGATTCAATCTAAAAAACAATATGGTTTTTGAAAAAAATTTAAATACTGCATGAACAAGAATTTTGAAATGTAATATAATGTTTATCACGTTTTACGTATAAATGCAAAATGTTTTTGATGCATGTAGTATTAATCAATTTTATGTAATATTTAAGAATTAAGAATAAAATATAATGCAATTCCTTTTTAATTTGTTACAAGAAAGGGAGAAATTCAAAGGATATAGGGAGATAGGGCTTCAATAGTGACTTGTGTCCTTTGCAATACTGCAACTTTGTTAGTTGGCAATACTAACACATTAATAGTCCTAAAATCACTCAATAGCATCATTAGTAACACGAAACAAAAATAGCTTCATATCAATGATTTCTTGATTTGGTTATTTGATTATTAGCAATATTAAAATTATTATTTTCCGTTTTGTAAAATAACTTCACTTTTTTTATACAAAACTGCAAAGCAATTGCAAAAAAGGCATCTGAAAGGCATAGACTTTTATTGCCATGCATTTGATCCTTTGCGGACAGAGCACTTCTAAGCTCAACACCATATATGTACTGAATATTTTTCAGTTAAGATAAAATATGCATGTATTATAAATTTATATTACTATTATAATTTTCTTGGAATACGTGTATGGGTTGATTATCCGCAAAGGATAATTACTTGTATAGCTCAGAAAGCTATATAAAAATTCACATAATGAAGCATGTAATTATTTCTATCAAAAATTTCTTTACACCGAACATATTTATTTATGTATTTGACCAGTAGATTTATTCAAAATTCAAAATTGGTAACTGTATGTATAAAGAATTTTCCACCTAAAATATGCCTCTTTTTATTAATACTATTGTAACAATAATTAATCCTGGGTAAAGATTAATATATCGTGTTATAATTTTTGCAATGACGAATGAAACACTGATGTTAAATAAAAAACTTAAAATGCTAAATGGTTATCTCGATATATAATCTTTAATTATTCCGAAATACTGCGCACCGCCTACATAACAGTATATGTATTCATATAATTAACGAATCCGAGTTGTACAGTGTTAATTTATTCTCGATTAACAACTTTAAATTTCAGATTTAAAAAATCTTAACAATAAATAAAAAAAGAATCCATCATTTCAGGTGAAAAATTCTAATGCAGTAGTATCCCCTGGATTACTTCTGCTTGCTTAGTTATTATATTAACTGCACTAATCTGAGCTACTTAACAGAGATAATTTTTATGTTAATACTATCTATTATCAATTATCATTTAATCAATCATTATGTCATCAAAAGAAGCAAACAGATTGATATATTTTTTATTTTATCAGAGTAAAATTATTTTAATTACACTGTTCAGGTTCTTACACTGAAAACTGTATAAAACATTATCATACTCGAATAATTTAGAGTTACATATATTCGAATCTGTGACAATTGAACAAAGATTACTTTATGTAGTACTACATTCTATTATAGCTAAACAATAAAAACCTGAGGAAATTAGTTTAAAAATTTTCATCATTAATATTAAATTTTTTCATTCAAGATCACTTAAGATAATATTATACATCACAGTTAAACTGGTTTTAATACTACTATATTCTATCAATCAAAATGTAAGATACGTATTAAATGTTGGATAAAGTAGGAAAAAGAGAGATAGAACTAATATCGATAACAATTATCATAAAAGCTATTTAAATAACATTCTATTATTTTTTAAGATAGAAGAGGTAACCAATATTCCTCTTTTGTGTAACAAAAATTCACTCTGTATATTTCTAATAGATGTTATTAGGAATACATATTTAACCACACCTCTTACATATTATACCATAATCATTTAAATTATACTATCAAAGTAGAATTCAAATAAAACATCCTTACCTCATCAAAAAACACTTGCGTTTTCCTGAGTATGTGTTTCAACTCTGTCAATTCCAAAAAATTACGTTTCAAAGCTTCTGCATTCTGATTGACCTCTCGTAGCTCATTTTCTAATTTTTCAAACGTTGCTTCGAGGTCTATCATCTCTCTAGGCTGGGGTGCTTCTGGATTTTCTCCGGTATCGAGCATGGGAATACCATCTTTTTTAATTTCTTTTTCCAAATATCGTAATTTTCGTTCCATTTCATCACACCGACGTACTTCATTAACGAATTTTCGTTGAAATGCATTGACATCAGGATTAAGCTACACAAGAGAGTAAAAATGTTACTAAGAAATACTAAGGAAAGTCAGAAAGAGTCAAGAGGTAATAAGAAGGTCAAAGAGAACTGTAAAAACATTCAAGAAGAGCCAAAAAGAGCCATGAAAAGCTAGGAATAGCCCAGAAGACTCAGGGAAAATCAGACATAATCAAGGAGAACCAAGAACAATCAGAAAAAACCAAAGAGAACCAAGGGTGGGGCAAGGAAGGCCAAGGAGGAGCAAGGAAAGCTAGGCAGAGCCAGGAAAGGTAAACTTTACTTTAAACCTTGTATTGGAATAAATTTTTTCCTTTGATATAAAAATTAATACCTACGTTAACATCTTTTAAGACTTTGTGATTATGAGCTTAGAAAAATTAGTTAAATTATAGAAACAATTTTATTAGGAATTATACTTTACCATTAAAGATGACAAAAGTTTACAATACAATAGAGTTTACAATTTTTTTCGTTTTACTTACAATGTTAAAATGCTTATTAAAATTTGTGCTATACCGTAACAAATATTTTATATTTATTAACATGTAAATTAAAATCGTCGCACAGAAATTACACGTGAAGATTCTTTAACAAAATTAGCCTTTGAATAAATAATAATAAAATAAAACTTACATCTCGAAATTGCACAAGTCCAAGTTCGCCAAGCTCCGAAACACAGGCGTATGCGGCTTCACTTTGCAAAAAGAGTTGACACAAGGTCATCTCTTCGCTTCGAAAAAGCGATCCCATATTTGTATTCGACAATATTTCAATGATCCTTATTATAAAATAACTAAAAACTACAGCATAAAGAGTAAGCTTTATCTAGAAAATTTAAAAATGAAAAAGTAGCTGAACGTATTATCAATTCACACATAAGTTTCAAAACCTCCTTTCCTTAAATGCTTAACGGACGCACCAACTTCTCATTGCGGATAGAATAAGTAATCAATAGGATAATCACGAGGTAAGATGGCCATAAATCACAAGATGACGGTATGTCGTTACTCGTATTTTTAGTTAACGCCCAAAAACTACACTAGCGACAATCCATACAATTTAAATAAGTACTGTGCACCGAACACAAGAAGACTCGCGTGACGGCACAGAGGCAAGAGGAAATACTATATTAAGCGTCACGAGAGTCCATAACTAAGGACGCGCAGGTTGGAAGATGGTGGGGGAACGCAGCGAGCTCTCCGCCAATCGCTTTCCTCTTCGTCTGGGAGTATCGCCAATCAGAGCGACAATGCGCAGAAAAGAACGAAAATTGGTCTTTTCGCAGTTATGGACTCTCATGATATCAAGTATACACACACATCGACTAACCTCCTAGTTTTACACGAGCCTAAATAATAGATGTGACTGCTTTGACCAATCATACGTCAGGACTGATAATACGTGTGAGCTGACGTAGAGTCCGACCAATGAACTTCGAATTCCGCGTCGGTAAAACAGTCAACGTTTCATCGAAAATTAGACCGAACAGAAACTGATTTAAGCGCCATCTCAATTATCGCGTAGCGAATTTCTATGAAATGAAAAGTAGAGTCATGGATAAAGAAATTTATGAACTTTCCAATGTATGTACGTTCTAGGGATTTTTCTAGGGACTTCGTTTTTCTCACATATGTCTAGTTTATTTATACAACTCTATGTGTCAGCACATACGTGGCCTCGTATGTACTACAGGGAGTTGCTACATCTATTGAAGCATCAGATTAGCGGGTCATATGATGAACTTATAGATTGATATTGGGTCTAACAATAAGGGAGTGTCTTAATTTTATAGTTAATTTCTACGAAATAAAAATGTTAAAATTGTTTTTGTGTTGCATAGCTGTATTTGTTGCAGGTATTGTATGTTTTATATAAATTATTAAGTAATATTGGAATGTAATTTAAATAATATCAGTGATTAGAAGAATTTGATAACTACAAATCAAATTCTTTTTCCCGTTTTTTTTTTTATGTTACAGTTAAAGCAAGTGGAGATTTTGTAGTTCTACATAGTCCAAACAGTGTCCTATTTAATGGGAATGAAGAAGTGGAACAAAGCTTGCTTAAAGAAGTATTAGCTGCTGCATTAGGATTTACTGTTAAACTGGTATATTTTTTTTATTGTTTTTAACATTATAATGTTAATATTTTATTGTCATAAAATCTAGGAATATATTTTTGAAAGATTCAGTATATTTCAAATTTTAATAATATATCATTGTGATTGTTATTACAGAGAGGAATATGGAGTGGCATTTCTATTACCGATCCATTTAGCCTTCCTGAAGCTGTAGTTGCAGTAGTAATAGAAGGAGTAGATTCTTTAGATATACCAAAGGGTAAAAGATTTCCTCTATATGTTAATGAAGTTGAAGAAACAACATGGCAAGCTCTTAGAGAACGTCTTGAAGAAAGAGACAATGATAACACTTTAGTAAGAATTTCATTAGGAGATGGTTTAGATGCTGTAAGTACTATAATAAATATTAGTTTAAATAAAATAAATGTTTGTATGTAATAACATTAAATATATTGATTTACACGAGTTTTTTTCTTTTGATTTATGTGCTAAAATAATGTAATTTGTACATAATATGAGTTTAGCTAGGACAGTCTGCTCTTGGAGAATTAAAACCAACTCCTATCGATGAATCATCTTTGAGAGCTTTAAATTTAAGGAAGGAAGAGGACAAGAAATTCCTTGAAGAAGTACAGTTACTCCATGCAATTGCTAAAAAAGCACCTTCTGCAATTAAACCAGATTCCAAATCTGATATCTATTGGCTTGTCATATCTGGTTTACGCCCGATTTTTGACGCTTACGGTAGTAATTCAACTACTTCTAGGGAAGCTTTATTATTATTAAATAATGCTTTGAATGTTATCCACGATGCATTTATCCAAGCTTATGAGGGCCAGGTATGACTTCGATAATATATTAAAATTCCAGTATTTAGTAACTTCTTAATATCATTTAATACAAAGCAAAAATTGTTTTAATTCAGGTATTAATTGTGGCCTTTACAAACGATGCAAGTAAGGTACACCACATTCGTTCTGTAACTCAAGAAAGGCAAAAACGGGAGGCTTCAGAACCGGTTTGTATTTAAAACTTTTTGTAATTTATAACATAAGTTTCTGTTTTACATTATCATATTACTTTTTATATTTACATTACAATTTATTACATTTATATATAACATTAATATTTACTACGGACATCATGACATTAAAACTAAAGAAAATGATTATGAATTATTTTTAATTAGTAACTGAAAAGACTTTATAGGAAACTTAAATATGGTGTAATTTTTCAATAATTGTATATGTATTTCAATATATTTCTCACAAATTATTACAATGAAGCAATTCCGTATGTCAAAAAAAAAATTTTTAGTATTTTTTAACTTGCAATTCCATTTCTAGTATATAAACAATTAAGAATTATACATCTAATTTTTGAATTATGTTGTTTAACTTACATTTATACATTTGTATTTTACATTCGTTTCATGCGACTTAGAAGTTGAATTTCTAATTTTTAGTCACTTATATCCTAACAGTGAAGCTGTAGATTGTACTTTTCAATTTCTTTTGACATACGAAATTTATATAATTAGGCTCACTGCTTGTTCTGGGGGGGCACTTTATATGTAATTTCAGACGATTATTTGTTTAATGAATCTAATATTAATTAAACATGAATCTAATGGGGCAATATTGATAACATTACTGTTGCTATAACATAACTTACATGTTACTCCAATGCTAAAAATTGTTAGACACTGCATAAATATAAGCTTTGAAAATACAGGGTGGGCCATAATAGAAATAGTGACAAAATTCTTTTTTTTTTATGTTTTAAGATTAAAGGAGACTTTTTATTTAATATATGAGATATTGCATACGCGGCAACAGTACCTCATGTATGAGATAAAAGGCTCTTATTAATTCTAATACATAAGAAAGAATTTTTTCATTCTTTCTATTAGATTATAAGAAAAAGCGCTTAAAATGGTTTATGTAGCCCACTGTGTGTTTATGATACTTTTATATTTCAAGTAAAATAAGGTTGCATCAGAATGTTCAATTATTGTATCTAACACCTGTATCCTTTATAGGCTAATAAAACTAACAGTATAGAATCTCCTTCGGAAGTTAAACATGTTTACAACGATACAAAATTCAATAATAGTAATATTCCACCTAAGGTATATTAAAATTGTTGCATGGAAAAAATTTCAATAAAAGTAAACAGATGTGTTTGAATTAGAAATAGTTTCCTGCATGCTTTTCAAACATGTTAATGAAATATACAGCGCAGTATCTGTAATTCAGTAATTCAAAACATCTTTTTCTTTTAATATGTGAAGATTGAAAAAAAAATATACAACATTTCATTTTACTACAAAATATACTGAAACAAGGATTCGAAATTCATATAAAACACATTTTAATAAAGAGAGATTGTAATGTTTACACATTGTTAGAAGAAGGGAAAGAAATGCATAAAACGGGATTTTAAATCTGTTTATTATTTCCATTTATTTTAAATATTTGTTTATAAATTGTTAAAACGATTAGCGTTCATGTTTTACACTCTATCAATATTATGTTTTATATTCTGTATGAGATCAACAACTATTGTAATTAATTAGGTTTGGATTATCTTGAATTTTGCAACATACATATGTTGCTTTATAAATCATGTACTTATAGCAAGATGATCATCCAGCTGATAGCACAGATATAGAAAATGAAGAGGATTTAAATACAAATATTACTAGTACTAGTGAACTATACAGTGATGTGGACAGTTCGACTACAGTTAATGATTTTGATAATGATAGTGACGTCGGTAAAAATAATACGGATTTGAATAACACGACGAATACAGTAAATTCTAACACACAAATTATAGGACAGGTACCACAAACACTTTAACATATATTCTAAATAGAATTTTTTGTTTTTTTTTGCATACTTGAAAATTTTAATGTATTTTATTATGTTGAAACAAAGATGTGCTTATTGCGAAAATAATGAACATATCTCAATTTATTTTATAGTAATATATTTTAATTTAAGAGAACATTTTTATAGGAGGTTTTTCAATCGCGTTGGTGTTTTGATTGTCTTGCGTTTTGTAAATTTTACAGTTCACTTCTTCTAGTCAACCCAAAAGCTGGTAAGACAATTGAAACACCAATTCAAGTCATCATGAAAGCTTGAAATATTTTTTTTAGCTATTATATTTCTTTAGCATAAAACTTGTTATGCAATATTTTATCAGTAATTGTTAGTAGAACACATAAAATTGTAAGTAAATCTTTATTAAATTGTGCATGAATTTAGTAAATAATCCAGTATACAAAATGCTTTTGAACAATATCACAAATTAAAGTATACATTTTTCGTATCGTGTAAAAGTGAAAGCCTTTTATTATTTTGCAATTTAACATAATTTGTTGATAACTTATGTAATTTATTTATAAACGTCATACTTAAATGCATGCTAATATCATTATTTAAAATCTCAATTTTAAATATACCGAAGATATAGTTTTAGATTGCAAGATATAGACGAATCTTCAACCTTGCTATGATATGAAGAATCTTGGCTTATACTTACTAACTTAGCATATTTTATTTATATATTATATAAATGTTTTAAGTGTGCTTGTCTGACAATGCTTGTTATTAATATATTTCTTTTTATCAATGCTACTATACTATGTAGCATTTGGTAAAATGCATGATAACTTAATATAAAAAAACATACAATATGAATTTATTGGGAAAAATAATTGTATTAATGTTATTACTTGAGTATATACAAAATATTATTAACTTTGTAGCATTATATTATGTTATGTTTTTAAGGCTTTAAAATTTTTTTTTTTAACAAAAGAAGAAAGCTTTTTCATTTTAGGTATTTAAAAGTTTAGAATATATTACATTCAACAATGAATGTTATTGCAGTTGGATTACTGCAAATGTTTATAATTCAGTAAAATATAAAGTTTTTTGTTTTAGGGCGTCACTCGTCTTGCAAAAGTTTATTCAGGGGATTATCCTGTCATCTTTAACATTCTTTTATGGTTTGGAGTTGTCTTTGTTTTCTCGCTGCTTGCTATTTGCAGTATGTAATCATTTATTATTATTATTTAATAAAATGTTATACTTTTTCTAATTCTTATTTGTTACAAATACAGTTGCCATTGCTCAGATGGATCCCGGACGTGATTCTATAATATATAGGATGACTTCCAATCGCATGAAGAAAGACAATTAAATGTAAATATAAATTTAAATTAAATGATCCATTCTGTATATCTATTGTACTTAAATCATTAACCTTGCTTAATAAGCATGTGTCATTTCAATTCACAAAGTATTGAGGAAAAAAAGAACAGGAAATGTTCCATTATGTATTGTTACAACTATTGTAGTGTATTTATGTATACAATAGTTGTAACATATGTAATATAAACAGTCAGTCATTTAGTTCTCATTTATTATACACTGTAGGGAATCATTAAACAACTAAATTTTGTTACATGATAGTACTGTACAAAAGTATTTCTAGTAGATTAAATCTGTTGTAAATTAGTATAAGTTATAATAAACAATACTTGAATGTAAAGTTATATAAAATAAAGTAACAGTTATCATGGGTATTGTGAATTAAATTAATTATACTTTTGTTATAGATCGTTTTGTTTCTATTACTATAAATACTACTGTATCATCATTATTTTACTAGAACTATTAAATAATTTTATATATTTAATCATAATTTACTGATGCATACACGGTCTCTTATTACTTATATAGACGCTTGTAACTTGCGAGTTGGATAAGCGTCTTTTAAGCAAAGTAGGACTTAAAAGATAATTAATTATAAATGTAAACGAATTCTAGAAGATTAATTGCTAACGCTTTAAATTCGGTTATTCATTAATACAAGTGCCAGTAACTGCAGGTGAAAGGGTTAGATTACATCAATATGTAATGAATTTTGGTTCGATTCTCCTATGATGAATATTCTTTCAACTTCACATTGTATGCTAATTTTCGATGTTTATAATGTTTTTATTGAAGTACTTGTATGTAATCACTACTTATAATTCCTGATGAATGATACATGGAGGTAAATAAACATGTATTACATATTCATATACTGTATCTATAGTACATATTTCTGGACCACCGTTGTTCAATTTATAACAACATACTTGTATAAAATAAATTAAAAATTTTGATTTGAACATTAACGAAATTCAATAAGATTTTGTATCCATTGTCACCTACATCTTTAATATAATCTGGAATTTTATAATAAACTTAAGGTTTGGAGATGGGAGTTTTCTTTGCAATTACAATAAATATTAGATTCAAATAGAACAAAACACAGGTTTCTTCCTGTATTTAGGTGTAACATAGATTTCCTTTGGTTAAAGGCAGGTGTAAGGGGAGGAACCTCCTACCACATGTCTTTAGTTTTGGAAGAACCCAGGGAGAGGCTCATCTAGGACCTCCTATTCTCATACACAAGAACACGAATGAATACACGAGTGGTGGGATATTCCTTCCCCTACACCTCCTCTTGACTAAAGGAAGCTTAAGACACACATGATCGTATCTTTAAACCGTCGGCTTTGAAGGTTTAACCCCCACTTTGGCATTATCCCACTCTTTCTCGAAAAGCTACCCAGGTATACTGATTCCCCCACGAGGCCACAACACCTGTCACTACTACAGGAAACGACTAGTGTTTTCTGTCAGCCTACGTTTAATCCACTTTGACTTATATACAACAGTGTTGACTTCGACAATTCTTGTCACATGCATCGAGTTTGATTGCTCAGGTTAAGATAGTTGTCTATCATAGGGTGTGTAATTATCCGAAACCATCATTCTCACTCGGATATCAGAAGATTTTAGTGGAAACGCTTGACGATGGAATGGAAAAACGCATTGAAAAATTGTTTTTATATCGTTCTTCGAATTTCTGCTATTACTGGGACGCAGATAGTAACAATCTCGTGAATATGAAGTTTATACAGTTGTTATGACTGGCAATCAACGATTTTGTGACTTATTCGAAGATATGCAACCGTTATCGTTGATGCATTTGGTAACTGATATTTTTTCAAAAAAGATGAAAGATTATTGAGCGTTAAAAAATTGTACTATTTTGCAAAGAAATATTAACTTTGCATTTAAATCCTTAGATATGGAATTTAGTGTTTTTCATAATAAATGAATTAGCAAAAATTTTTATGCGTTTCACCAACTAGATATATTAGCTAGAAAAGTATTTAAAAAAAACGAATTCACAATTTACATCGCGAAAATTAAACATTAGTCAAAGTTTAACATTACTAATACACCGGTTTATTACTTATTGTTAGACAAAGCTTTTTACTTCGAATTCGTTACACCGGGTAATTTCTGTATTTTATGACGATGACGAACATACAATTTAATTATGTCAATACCGAGGTTATTGATCATAAAGAAAATGAGATGCTCAAAGTGCAAACAGAATCGCGGAGGTACACCTGATTTTGTAGTACACAAAAGGGTTGAAATTTTGAGGAAACGGACTTCCAAATAAAAATTATTTTATTAATCTTCTATTATATTTTCGTTTTTCTACAGTCGTTTCTCGTTCCTATTTTAAATGAATTTTTCGAAAAATGGCATCTCCATCTTCAATGAGGAAGAGGTATAGGGGGAGAAGAGCATACTTAAAAATTTCTTAGTTATTTATCTTAGAAGTTTAGGTTCGATGTTACAACATTTATAATAGAATAAAATTTATGCTAATTATCTTTAACCTTTGAACAGCGGGATCTGAGTCATACGAAGTTAAATGAAAATTGTGGCTCTCTTCATGGTCCGCCGTCCGAGGGTTAAAGCGCACAAAAAACTTTAAAAGCAAATAATTCAAGAGCTATTGAATATCAGCTCTATACTGGGACTTGAAAGAATATTACATTTTCTAAATTATTTTATAAAAACCAGTGGCCCAATGTTGGAGCCCCCTTCTCGTAAGATATTCGTTCTTTCATGCCCCACTCGATAGGATTTTTTACCGGGGCCTATGTACAGCGACTCGTTATAGCATCGTTATGTATATCGAACATTACTGACAAACATGATCCTCGAGGTAATTGTAATCGCGATTCGAGAAGCGGTTGTAGTGTCATCGACGACGTGGTATCTGTTCTGGACGAAAAATTCGCGTTTGTAACTTTGGCTTTACGTAATAGGTGTCGGCTACGTCTAGACTTCTTCAAGGTTATAGCCCGCAGGAAACATTCTTACTTCTAATAAGTCTCTGATTTATATAGCACCGTAACGAAAGTTTCAGTTAATCAGTCTCCCTCTCCTTAAATGAACAGTAATTATTGATTTCGAGAAAATTTCATTTCTTATTTAATATTTTTTATTAAAGGTATTTATAATATTTTTTTAATGAAATTATATAATTTCTGTATTTTTAAGCCTGCCCCTAAAAATAGAAAATAATTATCGTAATTATGGAAAATACTTGTTTCGTTAATACGGATATTTGCTATTTAATTTTAGATAAAGGGAAGGTTTCTTCGGTACAATCGACAAAATCAACATTCATAACGGTAATAATTGGATATTCAGAAGCGAAGAGGAGTAGTAAAATTTTTAATAAAATTAGAAGATCCAGTGAGTTCACTATGTGCAATTTGTTGTTCCATAAGAGGTTTTGGACGTATGATAAGAATTTTCTATTTCTGATAAAAGTGACAAGTGGCACAAGGTTGTGAATAATTTCGGTCAACGAGAAACAGAAAAATTTATAAGTGGATCACTGTGCAGGAAATAAAATAAAAGTGTTCGATTGTTTCAAAGTGTAGACAGATTTCGTTGCGATTAAAAGGAACAGGTGCAACGATGAGCGTGAGAATTGTCGTTAGCGTAACGGAGATCGCGGACATGAATCCAAAGGATCGTTACGTAGTCGAAGAGATAGGTAAGTAATTGTTTTCACGGGCTATCTGTCTTTCCAACGAGGAAATACGCTGTCGTTAATGTATTCTCTTATAACACCGCTCTTCTTTAAGGGTACGTTTTTTCACGTGACTTTTATTGCTGTGACATAACAGAAAATGTCATATCGCATTCGTGTGACATTGAAAGTCATGGCTTTTGTTATCACTATCACCGTGACATCTTTATGCACTTGGTTTCGCACAGTTCATTTACATCGTGAGAGATTTAATTAGCACGAGGACGAAGTCACGGCAGTAAAAGTCGTGCCACCTTTAGGGTACGTTTTAACTTGACAGTAAAATGGCACATTTAATGCTATGACGTTGGTCATCGCATAAATGAAAATTATAGTATATTCATTTTTGTGATATTTGTAGCCAATGTCATGCATTGTATTTGTGTACAAGTTTCAGATGGCAGGCCATCATTAAATATTAATTATTAATTGTATGACTAGTATACTTGCAATCAAATTGAGTTTTCCCAGGGAAAATAGCGATATAGGGGAAGTAGGAATAATTAAAATACGGTATTAATATTAAAAATAAAATTTAGTATACAACTTAATAATACGAATAACGAAATAAATATTAATTCACATTTTCCTGCGTAAACGGGACCCCTTTCGCTATATTACCATTTTTCCCGAGAATGCCTAGAGGGAAAATCGAGAATCCGGGACATTAGCATTTTCCCTGAAGAAGCCTGGTTTGATCGTAATTATACCACTAATAAATGATTTATGATTAATATTAATTTATATATACCCAATACCTTAATAATATCTTCGTATCTATTTATTAAAAGAAAAATTATTTTGTCCCAAAGAAAATGCAATAACATTCGGTTCATAAGTTCTTTCGATACCATTGCCAAAAATATCACGCCGTTATATATTTTGTTTATCTTGTGAGCCGTATAAATACGCTATAAAATTGATAAGCATGCGTGCCCAGAAAGGTGTAATTAAGAAGTATGGGTAGAGCCCAGCGTGTAATTATAAACGCGGAAAAGAATTATCTTTGCTGTAAGTGGTCTGGAGGTGTGACTCGCGTCATACGTAGAACTTGACCTTGACTATATCTTAGAGATCAGTTAATGAGTACACATTGCTATACGTAAGAAGAGAATCAAAATGCACCTTGACCATATGCGATGCATTAAAGTGGAGCTTTACAGCGAATTATGCAACAAAATATCAGTTCATTTAGATTCCAAATCGATTCGTGCTCGATATTCTCATTTTTTATGAAAACGATGTGTAAGCGTTAACAGGGATATAACAAACAGATTTACAATAAAAAATCTGCGGATGTTAATTGGAAAAGCTGAGTCACGATGAAGCATGCAAGATTTTTCTAAAAATTAATTATAAAACGATTACACTTTTATAATTTTCTTTATTTATAGACAAGTAAATTGTCATGTCTTAAAACTGTTTCCCACTGTGCTAAATTCATTATCAAAGTTTATAATAAATGATAAATATAAAACACACGTGTTTAGTATATTTTGTACAAGGTGAGTCGCTAAGTTTGGAACCCAAAATATCTATTTTATTTTTAATGATCTGAGCAAATGACTGAAGAAAAACATTTATTTTTAAAGGAGCAAAAGATCTTCTTTTTCTCAAGGTTATTAATAAGATGGTGTATTTTTATTACTATAACAAGATTACTATAGATACAGCATAATATTTTAGCAAAGTTATAATTATTAAAATACCTGGCAATGTTACACAACAAAGTTATGCATTTATTACAAATTTAAATACTTGCAAAATTCTCAATATTTAACTTGAGATATTACCCTGATGTTCACTCCTGTTCACATTGTATCAGCTTATTTCCAAAGATTGCTTTGATGCCCTTTCCAAGGATTATCCTGATACCCATCCTTCGATTATAATATATCACAAAGATTTTAAAGATTGCTTTGGTCATAGAGCATCGTTGCACCATTAATTGCCCTGATGCGCATCCCTTAGTTACACTATATCATAATTGCCCCGATGTCCCTTTTTCGATTCCACTGCATCGCACTGCTCCGTCTAATGGCTCTAATGCCCGTCCTTGGCTTACAACGTACTCGATTGCTCCGATAGATTACCCCGCTTGTTCCTGTTTTTAGATCGTTCTTCGCTAGGGCGATAAGATGATAATTGCGTCTGGAGGTTACACATATTTTTCTATCGCCTACCAGTTACGTAGTGTTTTTCAAGCTTTTCAGATAAAAATACGTATTCAAATAATCATTCTACATTTCAGTTCTGTATTTTAGTACATACTACTAATTACATTGTTACATATTTTCGTTTATAACTCGTAATTTCACGGTTCAGTGAGAATTAGTGACGCAGACGAGCGAGTATGTAAAAGTGATTAGAATTCGCTCCGATATTATGTTAATTTATGATACTTTTGCTCAAACGATGGTATTTCAAGGATCTATACTTTTCTCATGGCCTTATATGTTTTTCTTGGTTCATTATCCTTTTGTTCTCTTTAATCCTCAGACGGCGGACCATGGAGAGAGTCACAATTTTATTAAAGTAATCCAACTCAATAACAAAATTTTTCTCTTAAGGTGGGAGTATAAGTTCATAAAATATTGCATAATGCATTTTGGTCTAAATACTTATTTTTTATAAGATTTTTTTCCAAAATGTCTAGGCCCAACCAGGTACCTTATTTATATCATAATCTATGATAGTTTCTTACTTCAGAACGCACACGTACTGTAATTAGTTTTGATTTAGGTATGATGTTATTACTGTTTGTACGTAGGAAAATGAATGGAAAAAACTTGAGCACTTGCTACACGTGTAACACGAACCGGTATAAGTGTATTTAAAATGAGGAATGACTATGGTATTAGAGCAGCAGCGTGTAACCGGTAGAGCGTCAGAGTACGTACAAAGAAGAAGAATAAAAGAATAATTTGTAGTCGCGTGCTGTCATAAATATCGCGATACTTTATTACGCTAATTATAGATTTGCTAATAAACGAGGGGAAACGAATCTATGCACGAACAAGTTAATTAGGGTTAGGTGCAATTATGAAAGCAAGATGGTAGGCATGATACGTCTGCGACGCCAAAGCGAACGTGGCATCAATGGACGCAGACAATTATTAATGAGAGAATATTGAAGGGAGAGCCTGGGAAGGTGTCGTGCGATTTGAAAAGTTCCTACGTACAAATTGGACTTATGGTAAACGTTAACTTTCACGTTATTAGAAACAGAATGGTATTTTTATTAGTAAAATATACCTCTATTACCTACAGTTGAAAATGTAGAAGGTTTTATAACGGTGAATAGTATTTTACAAACACATTGTTAAGGTGATAATTAAAGGGAGATATTATCATTTTACATTACGTTGGTTAATACAAAGTCTTTTCAAAACGCGGAAGTGATCCATTAGACTGAATGATCGCAACAATATGATTCTGAAATCAAACATTACGAACGAAAAATGCATACCAATGCGGATAACCTTTGACGGAGACCTTGTCAAGCCGAGAATTGTATATGTTTTTCACGTCTCGGAGAAGAGGAAAATGAAGAAGAGATTTGTGAAGTCTTGAATTTAGAACAGGCGCATCAAGGTAATTTCTTAGATAGCTGCATTGTAACCCAAACAAGGGGGCCAACGTACCAGGAACTAATTAAATATTATTAATGTTACTGATGGTAATTGAAATTAGAAGAGTACACTGGCTAATACAGGACTTTCAATTGAAATTAATCCTTTTGTCCCTGATCTAATTGATTTTTTTAAATAAATGATATAGCAACGTGCGAGATTTTTATTTTTATTCATATTCTGATGTTCTATTGACCATCGTGAGATTATGATGGAAAGTAAAATTTGTGTCGTCCTTATTAGTCATACAAATAGGTTACTACACTATAGCAAGGATTTTGAAACGATATTAAATGTCATAGTACCATTTGTGTCGGGAATTGGTTTTTAATTGAGAATGGGTGCGCGCTGATAGTTTGCAGGCTATGGTGATTTCGATGCCGGGTAAGCGATGACTATTGCGAGAGCTCGGAAACCTTCCCTTCTAAGTCGCTCATTTTTCAATAGAAACTTCAATATAAAATTAAACAAAATTTTTTTTCCGTTTTATGATTAAGTATTGGTACTGATTTTGTTTATAATAGTAAAGTAAAAAATTTTCCTTCAGTAATCTTGTAATTAATCTCGTTGTTTCATCCATACTAGTCTACGAATCGACCTACATTTTCAATTCAATTCTTGACATATGTCAATTCCTTATGGGGATTAAATCTAGCCATGAGAAGTTCGTCATTTACATGGATGACGATATCAGCCCGAGTTTCCCTCTTTAGTAATTTTAATTCTTTCTACACATCTGTCTCGTTACCAGATTCGTTCTTAGGCCTTTGTTGTGACCTGTTATGTCGGTGAATCACTGACTGATCGTAAATAATTACAGAATCATCAGTCATTTCAGTATGCTGAGTCAGAAACATAGGTGCCACACTAGTTTTTTATCACATACTTGTCTTTTTATTGTTTTCTACTAATAACTTTCAGCATAATATTCTACTTTAACATCCAGTAATGGGTTAGCAATTATTTAAAATCATTCTGAATGGATATAAGTATACAGAGTGAGGATGAATGGTTCACTCGTGATCAAATCAGGCTTCTACAGAAAAAATGGTGATTTCCTGGGAAACCTTTCTATCTTTTTTTTGTTATAAAATCTCTACATTACGATTTCTATTCAATAAAACTGTTCGTATAATCAGTCTAACGTTGGAATACATTTTTTTCATAATTAGAAATAAATTATCATGTAAATTATTGATCTCTGACCTTTAATGTAACATTACTTATTGACAAAAAAATTAATTACTACTTCGTTTTAGTACGTGATGTACACTTAAGATTTATCTATCACAACATGTAATAATCAAGTGGAATACGAGCACTACCGCTTCA